TTCGGCACCTTCCATGATCGGGCATCAACGGGCACGACGAGAACCGACGTGCGGTTCATTGCCTTCCCGTGGGCCGACGCCGTGTCGGGGGCCGACGGCGCCATCTGGGGCGCGGGCAGCTGTCAGGCGTTTGAGTCGTCGATTGAGGGTGCTGGGGTATAAGCTGATTCAGCGGATTGGGCGTGGGGGTGGTGACGGTGGTGATGGGGGTGATGGGGGTGATGGTGGTGATGGCGGTGGTGGTGGTGGTGGTGGTGAGTGCGACTGGCCGGGCCACTGCGAGGGCGCGTCCTGCTCGAGCGACGACGAGTGTTCGGACCCGTGGGCGTGCGTGTCGGGCAAGTGCGCGCTGGACCCGGAGGCGGGTGGTGGTGGTGGTGAGCCGGATTATGCGTGCGAGTGGGCCGGGCACTGCGAGGGTGTCGCCTGCAAGACCCACGACGACTGCTCCGACCCGCTGCACTGCGATGCGGATGAGAAGCTCTGCACCATGGACGGGTGTAGCTGGGCGGGCCACTGCCTGGGTGCGAAGTGCGCTGATCACGGGGACTGCGCGGACCCGTACGAGTGCAACGCGAGTGCCGGGTACTGCTGGTATGCCTCTGAGTAAGGAGGGGCATGAAGAAGGCTGGCTGGTGGGGTGGATGACGAGGCACTTTGCAAGTAATGGTGGCGGAGAACGGGCATTTGATGAATATGTAGTGCGATATGTAATCAGATAAGCCCCCTATCGGCAATCCAACACAATGGACTTGTGAGCTCTCCCCCACCGGGCACCCAAGGACCGAGATGGCAATGGGGCCGAGTCTCCGTGACTGTTTTCGAAGTGGAATCCCAATGTAAACGACATGCCTGAACTCCGTTGCAAATTTGGCACACAGATGACACCCGCCGCCTTCATTCCTCCTCCCCTAAAATCATGAGCATAAAGCACTCAAATACAGCCATCCTCCGCCGGCGCGGGCGTACCCTGCCCTTAACTCATAGGTCGAGCCCCTAACTGGGTCTCACCTCGCCCGGAGCCCTTTCACCATCCTTCTACCTCCACCTCCTTCGCCTGTCATCCCGCGCCTAGGCACAGAAGCAATTGCCCTCGCAGCTCTTCATGAATTCGTTGTGGAACCCGGTCACGTCGCAGTACGCCTTCGCGTTGTCCGAGATGCACAGGTCGGTCATCATGGCCGACTTGCACTGCGGCGTGCCATAGTTGGCAGCCGTGTTGGCCTGGGAGCTGCTCTTGCCCGCCGAGTTGTTGGCAGACTCGACCGGTGCGGCGAGGGTGGGAGTGATGAGGAGGGCGGCTGTCGCGGCAAGGAGGGCGAGGACCTAAAGTAAGGGGCCAAGGTGTTAGTTACGTTTGTTATGTCATGAAGAGGGGATGCTAAGTATTTATGGCGTATGACGTGCCTTCATCTTGACGGTTTGAGTGGGTTGTTCAGGGATGAATGGCGATCAGCGCAGGTGAGCGACGGTCGATCCTTGGCGGAGGGAATGAGGCTCAGCAGGCTGGTGCGGGAATGCGAGGCAAGTGTTGCGATGTCAATTGGTCGGGTCCTTATAGTAACGCGTCGGCTTCGGGGTAGCAGCGGCCAAGGCGTCTAAGATGGCGGTCTGGGGTTCGCCAAGTAGACTTGTTCCTTTTCCGAGATTCGTTGGTCTTTTCTGTCTAGTCGACGGGGGGCGAGGCAGAGTTAACGAGCGTGTGGGGGGTAGCAACCCAAGTCGGCGGAAGGGTGAACCGGAAATCGGCAGCTATGGAACCACTCTCGAGTGTTCGCGCAAAGTACGGTGCTCAACCGGGAAAAGAGGGCGTCGTCAAGGTGGGATTTATGGCGGCGAGACCAAGTGAAGTAATGTGTGTTCTGTCGGCGGAGTGAGCCCAGGTCCCGGGACGTGGCTAGTCCGGCCGCTGCAATGGAATGCAACGATAAATATGAGTCCGCACTGGTCCGGTGGGAATGGATGCGAGGGGTGGGTAACCTGGGCACCGGGAATTGAGGGATGTGGGAGGGGCCGAGGAACTGGGGTATTACAGAGGGGACCCTGGCTCAAAGGGGCCGATCTGCATTGATTTCCGCAAGGAACAAGCGCGAGTGGAAGGCACGGAAGGTCCGGAAAGTGACTGTCGTTCTCAGTCCAGCGAGTGCACCTGCCGGGCTGTTCTGTTCTTGGTTGTGGTTGTGTAAAAGTCGAGATGGAAAGAACGCCTGTCTGGAAAGACAAACCCAAGCCCCCCAAGTACCAACAGCAGCAGTTGAGAGCACTCAATTTGGGGCAATCAAAATGTCAATCTTGTCTCATTCTTCCCCCTCCCTCTCCCAAACTACCCCAAATTCTGGTTTTGGAAGCCCGCGGCCGATGCCCGTCTCCCTGACCCCCTCTCCGCCACAAATCCAGCCCGTGGTCTGACTCTGGTGGGTGGCTGCTGGAAAAGCATGGAAAGCAAGCACCCAGCCGTCTTGCTCCGTTCCCAATTCATCAATAATAATTCCATCTCCGGTTCCTTGGCTAACAGCATAACCCCAAATGAATGTTGAATGGCACTCATGGCTATAAGGCCAGGATTTGAGCCGGTTTAGTCAATGGAACCCTGTATTCGGTCGCGTCGTGAATCGGGCCAGCGTCCATGTCAGGGAGGGATCGCCATGTGGGTAATGCAAAAATGGCCTGTGCAAGAGAAGCAAGAATTTTGAGAACGGGGCGGCTCAGTCTTTCCGGTTAGTTTGCCCCCAACTGCTCCCGGCAACTGGGTAGCACCCACCGAATGAGACGCCGTCCCGGAGTCTGGAGAGGAAGGCAGGTCCGAGTCTTGTCCTGCCAGGCCACCCAATCGCTGTTTCAGATAGAAAGTGCCTCCCCATTTATCCAAATTTCCACCCACAGACGAGCCCTCCCCCGGGACGTGCATTTGAGCACAGCACGCCGGCATCTCTGCCGGGGAATCGTTTGCCTGGCACTCCTGGCACTCCTGGCAAGCCTGGCCCAGCCTGGATTGTGTTTTGCCCGCCATCTTGGACCGAAAACGGGCGCACGGCCTGGTCCGCTTTGGGTCCCAGGCTCAACGTCCCAAGGAAAGCCCAGAGATCGTGGGTTCGAGATTATCCTCGAAGTGGATCGACAGAAAGCCACTGCGCATCTTCGAGGCCATTGTTTCTATTAATATCGCAAGGGAAACCGCCCGCGGGAATTCCCGTGAGATATCGTGCGGTGTTACCAGCGGAGTGTTCCAGAGCCAAGGCCAAGACATTTTTGTATCGACTCGATTGGAGCTGAACCCATGCAGGTGTGAGACAGCATCCGCATCACCACCAGCATGTCGGCGCGGGTTGGGCACACGCGATCCGAGACAAGAATCATGAGAAAAGGCAGGCAATCGACTATGGCCATTGTTTGTTGGGCTCACTCGACCGGCTGTCATCCGTATATTGGCTTACCAAAAGACACCGCAAGTGCACCCGCGTGGTCATATGTTGCAGGGTCGTGAGAACCCCTTAGACCCAAAGGAATCTGAGTTTCCCTAGGTCAATAACCATCCGAATCCGTTCGGATATGATCTCGAATCATTCGATGGTCCGGAATGAGTCACATCGATCGGAAGAGAAGGCATGATTCATGGCCCTTCAACCAAGGTGAAGCTCATCCTCGTAAGACTAGCTCAACCCTTTAGCACCGTTTGCCTGCACACCCCCTTCGTTCGCCTCTTCTTCCTCGGCCTTTCTCTCAGGTTGACTCAAGACCATCGACGCTCCTTCGTGGCAGCATCTGTTGGTAATCGTAATAAGGAAGTGCATATTCAATCAAAGGATTTATCCGTCAACTAAGGCTCGCGCGCTGAATACTTTCTATCCCTTCGTTGCTCTCCCAAGTGGCCAAGTTCCACCCACGAACCCGTTTCGAGCCCGGAAATACATATCCAGGCCGGAAATACCTCCCTCGGATGGCACGGAACCCCCCATCCCTATCCCCGGGGGAGGTAATAGGGAATGCCAATGGCCCTAGGTCACTTGAGGCATTCTGAACCCAACATGCATACACTCAAGAAATGCGGCTGTGCGATGATTATGTATAAGCGAGCAGACACCAAGTGTGAAGTCCACACCCAACGATGTGGGCTGCTAGATCCGCAACCGGCTGTGGGCCTGTGAAAGGCCTGTCTTTTTCAGAGTTTACAACACCTACCTAGTGATTGGCAGTGACGGCTGCCGACTCAGAACCTAGGTAGGGCATTAATGATAGGGGGCGGACGGCCTCTCTCTGGGTCGACCGCTCCAACGTGGAGAACTAAGAAATTTCAAAGAAATACGTATCTATTTGTGCCTTGGGCAAAATGACGCCGGATTTACTACTGATTAGAACTCAGAACCTGAGCTAGCAACAATCCCGCGGTTTCCGGAGCGGGAGAGCGCTGGATGCGGCGGCAAACCCATAGGAAATAGCATATCTGGGTACCTCGATAACCATGAAAAGAGACGGGATAAAAGGGGAAGACGCTTGGCAGAGGTAGTGCCAGAGGCAGACAATAATATTGCTTAAGAGCAATGGGGACTGAGGCGGTTTGGCCTATTTGGCCAAGGTTGCGCCCGGCTAATGATTACGATTGCTGTTCTCAGACCTGTCATGGAGTATATAGGTGGATGAAGTAACATTCAATGAGATTTGCGTCAAGTGCGCCAGAACGGCATCATCAAATGCGGTCAAGAGCCATTGTAAATAACAAAACTCCATTTCCCACCAGGCACCCACCGACAAAAAAAAGCTCGCCAAGACAGGCCTCCTGTAGTATGTACAATAGTATTATACCTTACCGACAAAATCAAACCTACAGCACACCAAAGCAGGCTGATTTAGTGATTCTGACCGTAACCTAATCCACCAGACTCACGGCATAGGTCGGGTTAAGAAACCCTCCCTCCCAGCTACCCAAACCTGCGCTCCTCCCCATGATCCCTTTCCCGTATCACTCTCTCACTCACGTCTACATAGTCATTCATGAGCCCCCTTTCCCCCCGCCACCTCACCGAAACAAACTCCCACCAAGCAGCCCCTCCCCACCTACAATCCCATCCACGCTTCTCTTCAACCCCTTCACCACCCTCCTCAGCTCCAACACCTCCTCAGCCTCAACCCCAGCAGCCGTCCTCGCGCCCCCCGCCGCCGTCGCCGCCGCCGCCGGCATAATCTGCGCCAGGCACTCGTCGGCGCGCACGAGCAGCTCGGCAACCCACGCGCCCATGACGCCATCCCCAGCACCGCCGTTCGCGTTGGCGCCCAGGGCGCCCGCAGCACGGCGCTCGACCTCGCGCACCCAGGCCTCGACGGAGACGGCGATCCACTGCACGACGGCCTTGCGGCGGCGGCCGGTGAAGGGCGCCTCCTGCGCGTCGAAAAGGTTCTCGAGCACCTGCACGACCAGCGCGTGCGGCACGCCGAGGTTGAGGAACAGCAGCACGGGCCAGCAGGGGTCGGCGCCGATGGACGCGTCCTGGCCGTGCGTGACGGCGAACTTGCAGACTTCCGGCAGCAGAGCGTCGACAGGGAACACGAGGCTGTCGAGCGACGTGCGGTGCGCGATGAGCTGGATCTGCTGAGAGACTGACTCGTAGGGTAGGGGGGGTTCACCAGTGAGGGGAGGGGCGCCGTCGGGCAGCGGCCGCCCGGCCTGGGCCAGCCGCCAGTACTCCTGGCGCTCTTCTGTTTCGTAGGCGGTCTGCTCGATTAGGCGAAGCCATGTGTCCATGATGACGCGGGGGTTGTGGTAGTCGGCTGCGTGATAGATGAGCAGGCAGAGGTCGAAGTAGGCTGCTTGGTCGGCGTATTCGTTGTATAGCTGGGAGGCAGTTAGTTTGCGTTGTCAGGGCTGGGTGGCGCGCGAACGATGCTCACCTCGGTTACGCTCTTGATGGGACCGTCGAGCGCTTCCTGGATGTCGGGGAGCTTGTCCCTCGAGACCCGCGAATCCGCCTGTAGCCGCTCAAGCAGATCATCTTGGATATGCGCAATTTCAAGGAGCTCGGTGACCTCATGGTTGAGCAGTTGCTGCTGCTGCCGGCTGATGCCAATGGTGTTAACACTGGCATTTCCCTTGGCGCGGCTAAGCAACGTGATCCGGTCCTTGACGCCGATGTCCAAATCCGATTTCGCCAGGGTTGCCTGCACCTGGGCGGCCTCAAAGAAACGGCTGCGGTGTGTGTAGAATCGGCAGAGGAGCTCAGCATGTTGGTAATCTGTTTCCGCCAGCCGCTGTAGGTACGTGATGACATGCGGGGAGTCAATGGACAAGAGCCGGTCGGTCCAGTTCTTCTCAATGTACCACTCATAAAGGTCGAAGTGGAAGACTTCATCAGTCGAGTCGTTGACAACCGTGTACGCCTCCATCCGCTTCGTGGCCGCGAGCGTAGGCCGCCCATCGACCACTTCAGGCTCGCCGGCAAAGGCAACCTCGAGCCTGTCGAGGACTTCGTGGATCAGGGCATAGCAGAGCTTCCGCTCGTCGAACATCTTTTTACGGGAGTCGTTGGGCGGTTTGCCATCGTTGACCCACGTCAGTGCCGTGTTCCCGCGGTCTTTTTGTTGCGCAACGGCTAAACACAGCTGGACGGCGCCGGCGTAATAGTTGAGCTGCATGTACTGCTCGACAGCGCTCCGAAGGTTAGGCAGAGTGATGCTACCGGCGACCTGTTCAAACAGCCTCAAGCTCTCTGCTAGGAGAGTTCGAAGCACATTAGGATTGTGGACTTGCTCGCTGGCGCGTTGTAATTGCTCCTGGGCTTTGAAGGTGACCACGTCATCCGGTGAGCAGAAGCTGCCGCATCGCCTCCTAAGCGCGTCGGCAACAGTCTCGACGTTGGCGCCGCTCGCAATGTTGCGATTAACAATAGCCTTGACGAGCACCTTGGCCAGTTCTTTGCCGGGGGCTTGGGAAAAGAGCTGCTCGTACGTCAAATCTTGAAGTTGCTTCTGAGATGTCGGATCGAGGCGGGCGTAGATGTCCGAAACCCGTTCGTCGAAGAGCATCAGGACGAAGGAGATACCCTCCGAGACACTCTCCATTAGTTTTCGCAGACCGTGCAAAGCTTGGTGCTCTTTCTGGTTGGCAATCTCTTCCTGCCTGTTGAAGAGCCGATCGGACGGGCCAGCAAGCCCCTGGATTGTGCTCTTGTTTGCCTCAAGGAAATTCCGCAGCCGTTCGATGTTCTCTTGTATCATGATGAGTTTCGTGGACGGAACGGTCGAGGAGACAGTCAGGGAGCCCTTCGCCTCTGCCTTTGTCGCAATAACCTTGAATTTCCACAAGGTCCGCACAAGGCGGGTAACGTACAGAGCCAAGGCATCGTGGCGAGACGAGAGCCTGACAAAATCGGAAACCAACTGCTTCCCGTCCGACTCGGCAAGTCTCGGCTGACCGCCGTACTCGACGAACGCCATACGGGCGATGTTTTCAGTCTTTGAATCGGTTGTCCTGCCTGTAGTGGTTCGCAGGTCGCTTCCCTGTCCGCAAGCAACAGCCAAGGCCGCCGATATCGTCTCAACGCGGCCGTACTGAAGGAGGAACTTGCGCACCTCTCTTTCGAGCCCTTCCTCGCCAGCGGAAGTCCTGATCGCGTTGGCGAAGATGTCGACCAGCCTCCTCCGGCGAACGATGTGCACTCCGGTGTTGGTGAGCACGGCAAACTCCCCCGGGGTGTTGTCGAACTGGACGGCAAGCTCGTTACCGAAACCAAGGGGTTGTTTCGAGGCGGAAAAAGGAGCCGTTGTCGAACCAATCTCGAGGATCCGGCTCCCGGGCTCTAGATCCACCCAGGTACCTTGCTCATAATACTTGAGTGCGGAGGCGGGAGTGGTGGCTTTGATTTTTCCTGTATCGGGGGCGGAGACAAAAAGAACGTCTGAGTTGGGCTGCTTACGGACGACATCAAAAAAGTAGCCGGGAGCGAACCGGACGCCTAGACCGCTGGGGTCGAGAGCTCGCGAAGTCTTGTCTAACTGTCCCTCGGGCGACTGGCTCGCCATTGTCCGAGTGCGAGCGCCGGGCTCCTTGGGCGGGAATTTGACGAACTGAAGCTGCATGCTTTGCGGCGCGAGACTGGTTGAGCCTCCCATGGTATAGGACGCGGAACTGGTGGCGCTAAAGAAGAGGCGGCAGCCGGTATCGGTGAGCGCCATGAGATGCAGTTTTGAGGCTTCGGTGGCGGGGATAGGACTGATGGAGACGATGTTGGTCCGGTTGGTGAAGAGAGAGGAGCTGTCTACCATGTGCGCAAAGTCACGGAGGCAGCTCGTCTTATCTTTCTCGATGACTCTCGTCAGCTTCTCGGGAGTTTCCAGGTGGTAGGTGCGGATGGTGGAGCGGTTAGAGAGCGAATAGAGCAGGTTCCGCGTATCGTCGACGACCAGGTTGATTAGTCCCTCCTGTTGCCGTTGGGTAAAAGGGAGAACGGCCGTCGACCACCCCTGGTATGTGTGGTTGATCTTGCCGCATCTGCTGGAAAACCACCTCTCCTCCTGTTGGTAAAAGAGCTCATGGATATCGGTATCGGTGTCGCCGCCAAGGAAGATGCGGCCCGAGGCCGTGCCCACAATATGGCTGACGTCGCTGCTCCCTCGATGGACCGACATCTTCGTCTGGTACAACGTAACGGAATTGGACCCTGAAGGCCCGGGCACAGCCGACACACCAAGCAGGATGATCTCGGTAGCTGTAGCGACGACCAGTATGTGCGTGATGCTCTCGACGAACACCCCTGGTTTTGGCGGAACCAGGGCGACAGCAGTGATCGTATGGGCGGCATCCTCATAGCCGATAAGCTCCGGGTCGGGATGTGTGTAGTCCCATAGAAAAAGGGAGTCGTCAATCGAAGCCCAAGCGTAGTTGATGCTCGCAAACAAGCCGATCTTTGTGGAAACCGAGCCCTGATTCAGGCGTGAGAACACTTGGTCTGGGATTGGATACGTCGACACCTTGTGAAACGGAGCCCAGGAGGAATCAGTATACTGAATGTCGTAGTCGGAGGACGCGCCAGCTTTTCCACACGGAACAGTTAGTATTCGTCTGGAGCGGAGCCGACAGAGCAAACTAGGCGGGTGAGGGATGGGAAGAAACATACGTCTGCAATAGGAATCGATGTCGGGGTAACTCTCATCGAGCTGTAGGGTTTGGTTGACGACCTGGGCGGCCTTTGCGACAGGGGGCAGGTCCTCGCGCAGGTGTGGCGGTGGCAACATTCCGGTAGCAATCTCCTGCTGCCCAGAACCCATAGTACTTGTGATCGGCCCCGGCGTAGTCCCCAGTGCCGCGCCGTTTGTGCTCGCCCCAGCGGTTTCGTTGAAGTTGAGCCGCCTGCGGGCGGTATTCGGCCCTGGCGCAGGAGTGTTGATGAATGCGCCAGGAATCTGGCGCACGGGAGTGACGGGGTTCATGGCGGTAGAGCTGAGGTGTTTGTTGAGCCGGCGGCGCGATCAACGAAGATGTCCGACAGATGTTGTCGCAGCCGGGGGAGGTTGGGAAGGGGAGCTCCCCGCCGATAATTATTTTGATCCAGAGCTGACCTGTTGCAGCTCGATTGCTATTGCAATTGAACCATCAAAGCAACGCTAAAACAAAGGTCGGAAGCTCGCGATCGGGACCTGCAACGCTGGGGAAAGTGAAGTCGTCGGAAGCTGGGATGCTTTGTACAACAATGGCCAAGGAAACGGGGCTCAAAAGAGGTTGGCCGTAAACAATTTTTGGAGCACTGGGATCATTGGCGAGGCTGGCTCTGACGCGCGACCGCGCTGGGGTCGAATTGGCGATACGCTAATCCGTATTCAGCATTGTTGGCGGTAATTCTGCCACCGCCTTTTAGCTCACCCCAAGCTGTCCAGATTTCGGGAACAAGTGTAGGTACACACATACTTCCACATTAACATGTTCTACTTTTGGTCGTCACATTAACTTTGGCCAATATTTTGATTATAATTATCTACGCGTTGCCACTTTTGAAGCTGGAGTGGTTGCTCCAATCATACAAATGCATCTGATAACCGCACCCTGGAGATTTGGGCCGTACACAGTGGGGCCCTCAGAGAAACCTATCATATCAAGCCATCTCACTGCTTCTTAGCCTCCCTTTCAGCTTTCCGCAGTGCCCGAGTGCGGATATCAACGTGCATCTTCCGGTTGAACCAGATCGTCACGCCGCTGGTTGCACCCACCGTGGACTCAATCACCCACTTGAAGGCAGCATGGCTCCACCAAGGCGTGTAAGTGTTGGGGAACATCTCGTTTCCAGTCAACCCAACCTTGCTCAGCGCCGAGCTGACAAACTGCTTCGGGTTCGGGATGAGAAGGCTGGTGCGGCGGATCTTGCTCATGGCAGTGGTAACCAGGTAGCTGACGACGAGCTGGACATCGACACCGTGGGGCTTGAGCTCCGAGGCCAGCGAGCTGCTCCAGTGTTGCAGGAAAGCCTTGCTGCCGCTGTAGGTGGCGAGGTAGGGGGTGGGCATGACACCGGCGAATGAGCCCATGGTAAGAATGAGGCCCTTCTTGCGCTTTGCCAGGATCGGCGCAACGACTTGGGTGGTCTTGAGGGTGCCGAGGCAGTTGATGGTGATGATGTCCTGGAGCTCTTCGCGAGCGGTCTCAAGGAACGGTACGGGGATGCTGTGCGACCGACCGACGTTGTTGACCAAGATGCCGATATCCAAGCCCGAGATCAGCTCGGCTAGACGCTCGTAGTCGGCATCGTTATCTTGGGAGTAGTCCATCGCAAGTGTCTTGGTCTGCAGTCCGGACCATCTCAGCTCCAAATGGCGCGCCAGGGTGTCGAGTTTGGACTGGGTGCGAGAAACGAGGACGAGGTTGAAGCCCTTGGCGGCCAATTGCGAAGCGAACTCCTTGCCGAGGCCATCCGATGCGCCGGTGACGACGGCCCATGTTCCCTTCTTGCCATACTTGCGGAGCTGTAGATAAAACTTATTAGCGATGCTTAGGCGTTCCGAAGGGTGAAAGAGCATACGTTTGTGCCGCTGAGGATGAAACAGTTGAGGAACAGTTGAATGAACGACAGCACTGGTTGAGCAACGTAGAGCGCCCCAAGGCCGGCCAAAGCCCACTGGCCAGCCTGAGGGATGGAGTTCCAGAGGTCGAGAGCCCTATCCAGGATTTCTTGAGCGTCAAAATTGAACGCCATGGTGTCGCAACTGTGGCAAGTACCCAAATCCGGTAATACGTCGTGGAGTTGAAGGTTGGCTTCTAAACTGGGCGAGGCCGTGCCGTGGTTGATCGGAACGACGCGCTCGTCCAAAAATGTTGGGACCCTTGCATCGGGAAGATTTTAAGGGGCCCGCCGGCTGTGGAGCGTTGCTGGAGCTTTGGCCAAGCCGGCCGAGGTTTGGGGGACGGTCCCATAATCTGGCTGGCGCTAGCAGGCTTGGCACTTTACGGCTGGGCGAGCTCTCGACGGCTGCAAGAAGATTCTCGACAAACACAAGTCGTGAAGTTGTAAGCGCGACGTTCTCTCGTCCATTGCCACCACAATCGAAACATCTACCTCTGTACAACCTGAACGATGGATAAACTCCAGGCATTCCTCCCTTCAGGGGAGAAAGGCTACTTGCCTTATTACCTGTTCGTGGTAAGTTACGATACCTACAAACACTCCAAATTCGCGTTTGCCTAATCGCCTCTTTCTGTCTTCTAGATCTCCGTCGTGGCCATGGGCAATGCGCTCCAAAACTACGCTACCCTGCACTACACACGCCGCATCTACAACGGTCTCTTCGTCACGAACCACCTGCCGCCCGCCCAGGGTAGGTACAACCCGGAGGACAGCACACGCATTGTCAAGCCGGCTTCGTCGACGGGCAAGGACGCCGAGAAGGCCAAGGACCAGGTTTCGCCTCTCGCTGCCCGAGTCTTTGGCACCTACACCTTCGTGGCGGGCATCATCCGCTTCTACGCATGCTACCAACTCGAGAACCCGAGCATGTACCAGCTGGCCATGTGGACGCACGTCATCGCCTCGATCCACTTCACGACAGAGATGCTCGTGTTCAAGACCATCCGCTTTAGCGGGCCCCAGGCGTTTCCCTTCCTCGCGGGATACGGTGGCGCCATCTGGATGGCGATGCAATACAACCACTATGTGCAATAAGCGGTCTTCTGCTGGGAAGAGGTGGCAGGAACAATATCCACATTTATGCCTGGCCATGTTTAGGTAGCTAATCCTTAGGTCTAAGGCCACATAATGTTACTTAATATTTATTACACACAACGGCAGGAAACACGTGAGAACCTTCCCATCAGTTGAGCGACTTGCGGTACAGCTCCCCATCACAGCCCCTCAGTCGCGCAGCGGCCTGCTCAGGGGTGATGTCCCGTTGAGGCTCGGCCATCAGCTCGTATCCGACGAGGAACTTGCGGACGGTGGCGGAGCGGAGGAGAGGCGGGTAAAAGTGCATGTGAAACCAGCTGTTTTCGGCTTCCTCCTCAGTGCAGTCAAGCGGCGCTTGGTGAATGCCGGAGCCTGTGCCTTGTCAGTACAGGAACGAGATTTTGGCCCCGTCCGTGTAAAGGAGGGGTATACTCACTGTATGGGAAGTTCGTCTCGAAGAGGTTGTCATAGCGTCTGGTAACTTCCTGCACAGCCTCGGCGAACTGCAGCCGCTCCTCGTCGGTGAGATCAACCAGCGCACGAACGTGGCGCTTCGCGATAATGATCACTTCGAACGGCCAGACGGCCCACCACGGACACACAACGAGGAAGCCGCCGTTCTGCCAAACCACACGCTCCTGCTTCTCGATCTCGAGCTTGGTGTAGTCCGCAAGCAGATGCCGCCCGTTTTCAGCCCTGTACTTAGACATTTCTGCGAGTTCCTTGCTAGGCTCCTCCGGCAGCGTGCTGGTCGTCCAAATCTGGCAGTGTGGGTGTGGGTTGGAGCAGCCCATGGCGGCGCCCTTGTTCTCAAAGATTTGCATGTAGCGCAGCTGGTTTTGGGGCGGGTCGACCTCGCCATCCGGGTTGGCTGGGATCGTGGCGAGAATCTTGTCGGCCTGAACCTTGAGAGGGCTGGTGGTCGATAGGTGGCTGGCGTAAATGCGCGTCCAGGTCTGGATGACGGGCAGGATCTCGGCGGCCGTCATGTCGGCAAGCGTGATGTCATGCTTGGGGGAGAATGTGAGGACATAACACCGGCCGGTGACGGGTTGAGCCCTCAGGAGGAGGGAGGAAACGTCATCTTTGTTAGCCTCGGGATTGTATTCCTGTTGCTGCTCCTTCACCGCGCTATAGTCGTTGACAAAGGTGAAGGTATTCTTGTATTGCGGGTTGCTGTCTCCTTGCGCACGCTGATTGCCGGGGCATAGGTAACACTGATCAAAATTAGTGATGCTCAAACTGGAGTGAGCGAATAAGACTTCATACCTTGGGGTCGTACTCGGGAAGCACATTCTTGGATGGTGCCTCTTGCTGGCCCCTGTTGATGCTTTAGTACCCAACGATATGGTGACATGGAGCACCGAGTACTCCTGGAATTGATCTCACTGCCAAGGGCGCTTAGTACGATGAGGCGATACCAAGAGCCATGACCCGGTCAACGGGTTGTATCGGCGATGCGAAATATCGTCAAGAACTTGGTCGGGCATCTTGACCAAGAGAAACTCTAGAGTCTAGAACAGAACTATTCCAAAGACGCGACAAGGAAATGCCGCAAAAAAGGTGAAAATAATTGGTTATTCATGCGAGTGAGTCCCAAGCCCACGTGCAAGTTTGTGTTGCACTTGTAGCTAGAAGTTGGTAAATAGGAGGGGGCGGGGTCGGCGGACTCGGTCGGCGTTGCCCCGGCGGAATTGCCATGTTGGTGGAGGAAGAAGTCTAAGGAAAACCAACATGCCGGTCAGGACCTGTTCACGGTAAATTCCCCGCTACTAGCTCTACTAAGAGTTTGGGCTACCCCATGCAAACTGGAACGAGCAGATTACTTTTCCTTTCCATAGTCTCAAATGGTGGGAACAAACGGCTGCCGAGTGTTCCCCCATACATGCGGGTTTCATCCAAGCAGAAGTCACGTCTTTGAAGAATATTTCTATAACTGTCTTGGGTGTCTCTAGAGAATTGCAGCCGGGAAGTAGGACCTTGAAGTAACATAATTCTAGACTTGGAATCTCTTTCGATCCCGTTGGTTTGTTCCCTTGGTCGTTCAAGATCTTGTCTTCTCTTGGGGTTTAAATTGAAGAAATAGGGTTAGGGTTTAATACTATGCTGCCATGAAGGTATCCACTTCTCACGATTGGGACTTGGCAGCTTGGCCTCCGCTGTGCATCCATTGTCGCAAAACCGTGGAAGTGAGATTCGCAGCTGTCCGGGATTGGCCTTCAACTACAACACTCAACATCGACCATCTAGATTCCATCGGATTCCCCGACATACATCGACAAAATCATCAAAACACGCGTCGCATCATTTCCAGCAGTTCGAACTCAATCTTGCCCTGCCCTTTATGGCCATTTTCCGAGCTGTCCTTCGCACTGCCTAAGCGCGATCGCAAACCCGTGAGGTGCTTGCTTCCCGAGCCCACCCCTGCCATCTTGAACACCTCTCCACCCACTCTCACCAAACACAACTTCCACGATGGGCGTCATTAGAAAGAAGATTGCCGCTAGGGGCGGCGAAGGCGGTGTGAAATATGTTTGCGACGTCTGCTCCTCTGATATCACATCAACAGTAAGTGAATCTCTTACGCTTGGCATTTGTCATATCCCGAGGCCCCATGTGCTGCTCCCAGCCCACCACACGACTTGTTCATGATAGTGGAGCAATCGCAACACATGCACCGTGATGCTAACGTTTCCCACCAAAAGGTACGCATCAGGTGCGCCCACAGTGCTTGTAACGAATACGACCTCTGCGTAAAATGTTTCTCCAGTAGCGCCGCGAGCAACGCGCATCAACCGGCAACACATCCCTACCGAGTGATCGAACAGAACTCATTCCCCATATTCGACCGAGAATGGGGTGCCGACGAAGAACTGCTCCTCCTCGAGGGTGCTGAGATCTACGGCCTAGGATCGTGGTCAGATATTGCTGACCACATCGGCGGATACCGGCACAAGGACGAGGTTCGTGACCATTACCTCGAGGTCTATGTCAAGTCGCCAAATTTCCCTCTCCCGAAACGATGCAGCCCCCACGACATGGAACTGGCGAACGAGATTTCGAGAGAAGAGTTCCAGGCCCGCAAGAAGCGCAGGATCGAGGAACGAAGAGAAGCGGCCAAGAATGCGCCCGCTCTGCAACCCAAGACAAAGCCGACTGCCAGTGTACCAGCCTGTCACGAGATCCAGGGCTACATGCCTGGCCGATTGGAGTTCGAGACCGAGTACGCCAACGAAGCGGAGGAGGCAGTGCAGCATATGCAGTTCGACCCTGGGGATGGCATCAACCCACGTACGGGCGAGCTAGAGCCTGAGATGGAGCTTAAGCTTACGGTGATGGAGATCTACAACTGCAGGCTGACGCAGCGTGCCGAGCGCAAAAAAGTCATCTTTGAGCACAACTTGTTGGATTACCGGGAAAACAGCAAGCTAGAGAAGAAGAGAACGAAGGAAGAAAAGGACCTGTTGAACAAGGCTAAGCCTTTCGCACGGATGATGAATCAGGTCGACTTTGAACAATTTTGTGAGGGGCTCATTGACGAACTCAACCTTCGACAAGCAATCGCGCAACTACAAGAATGGCGTGGCCTAAGGATCGGCGACCTCCGGAGCGGCGAGAAGTACGAGCAGGAGAAGGCGTTGCGTATCCAAAAGTCAATACCTTTAGGATCCATGGACCGCGAGAGGCTGGCAACAAGCCAGCGTAACAAGCAACAGCCGCCGCCCGAGCCGCCGAGTGGCGCGGCCCTCCTAGTTGCGCCCGAGCTACCGATCCGCTCAGCGGCGACGGCCGGGATATCGAGTGGCGAAGGGGCCAACGATGCGAAAGCAGCAGAGGCTAACGGCCATCACATCAACGGTGCGAGCGTGGTTGTCGCTAACGGCACCTCATCTGCGAAGCAAAAGTACATCCCGCAGCCGATACCCGGAGTGCAGCCGACTTCGCTCAGCCAGGACAATGCGCCAGATCTTCATCTGCTCACTTCGGAGGAAGCGAAGCTGTGCGAGACCATCCGCCTTCAGCCGAAGCCGTACCTGATGATTAAGGAGCAGATCCTCAAGGAGGCGCTTAAGGGCAATGGGAGCTTGAAGAAGAAGCAAGCTAAAGAGATATGTCGCTTGGACTCCCAAAAGGGCGGAAGGATTTTTGACTTTATGGTGAATGCCGGCTGGGTGGTCAAGGCTTGATTATTCGTGGCAGTGGCGGCCATTTGGCAATCTGGCGTTTTGGTTTAAGGGACGGAATACCATGGTGGAGCGGAAGCCACAGCGTTATGATTCATGATTATATAGCCGGAATGGCATTTTTGCAAATTCTGTGCGAGTTGTTGCTGATGGTGCTTCAACTTTTGTTCTATTTGGGTGATTCAGGGGCTAAGTCAACACCAGAGCCCGGCAACCGAAGGATGAGCCCCCTCGCTTCCCCAAAAGCCCAGGGAAACTGCCAACTCAAGCTCGGCCACCCACCCGACGGTCGGTGCTCATTGGTCATTTGCGTGTAAATGGTGTGCCCTCTCCCTCTTCAGGGTATTTAAGGCCGTCCTGTTTTCTCTCCGTCCCTCAGTTTTTACTCCTACTTTCTTCTCGGTCAACGTAGGTTTCAAGTTCCCCGGCCTGTGCCCTTCCCAAAATTACCTGCGATCGTATCCGACACTCTGTATTCTTGGCCTTCCCCCTTTTCCAATTATCCTACCGCCCCATCGTCGTTTTGCCTCACCGATACCATGTCGGACAACACTGTCTACCTCATCACGGGCGCGATAGGGGTAAGCACACTTTCATCACTGCCACACCGACTTTAGGTCTCCTTGAACACTTCCACGTCTTCCATTCAATTTCGCTTTTCCGTATGTTGCTTTTTCTGTGTGCGTTTTAGCTACCCCGCTTTCCTCTCCCTAGTTTTTTCTCCTTTTTCCCCTTTGGGCCCGCACCACCCCTTTCTTTTTTCTTCCCTTGTATACCACCACCCATCCAACCAAACCCCCCCCTAACCCCGCCCTCCCCCCCCAGGAATCTCCCTCGCCGTAACCACCCTCCTCCTCACCCGCCCGCACACCACCATCCTCGCCACCTCCCGCCAGCCCGCCGCCTCCCTCGACCCAGCCTCCTTCCCCGCCACCCCCGGCCCGGGCTCCATCCACCCCACCAGCCGGCTGATCCCGGTTCTCCTCGACGACGGCAGCCCCCTCGGCCTGGACGCGCCCATCTCGTCGCGCACCCTCGCCGCACGCCTGCGCGCAGAGCACGGTGTGACGAAGTTGGATGTCGTGCTGGCCAACGCGGGCGGGTCGACGGCGATGGGGGGCGTGCTGGATACGGACCCGGAGGAGATGGTGAGGGATTTTGGGGTCAATGCGGTGGGAGAGGTGAGGCTGTTGCAGGCGGTTTGGCCGCTGCTGAAGAGGGCGGAGGGGGAGGAGGGGCTGGGGAAGTTTGTGTACGTGTCGAGTACGCTGGGGAGTATTGGGCTTTTGGACAGGGAGAGTATGCCCGGGGTGGCGTATGGCATGAGTAAGGCGGCGGCGAATTGGTTTGCGAAGAAGGTTAGTGTGGAGTTGAAGGGGCAGGTAGTCGTGGGGGTTTTGCATCCGGGGTGAGTACTTCTTTCGCCGCGAGGGTTCTTTTGCTCTTGTTTGTGTGGGAGGGTTGGTGGTGGGTTGGCTAACGGCGGTTGGTGTAGATGGGTGCAGACAGCGCTGGGTCAGTCGCTGGCTGATGCGGTTGGGTTCAAGGAGCCGCCGACGACGGCGGAGCAGAGCGCGAAGGGCGTCGTTGAACAGGTATGGGGCCTTTTCCTGTGGGCTTTTTTTTCTGAGGCTAATGAGGCTCTTTCTCATCAGATTGACAACTGGACTCCTGAGAAGTCGGGCCAGTTTCTGTCCTACCACGGAAACCCTCTCCCTTGGTAGGCAAGAGATTGGGTCACAATAAGACCGATGGGACACACTGGTGTTGGTTACAGAGATAAGTTGATTGGCATGTCTTTTAGGTGTAGGTCAGCAATAGGTAGATAGGAGAATGCCGTACTAGTATATCTAGTGATATCCGCCAAAAAAAACACCTTCTCTATCTCTATCGCTTTGTAACTATCTCCCGTCACGATGACCATCCACCTCGACGGCATGAGTATGTCGACATTTACCCTGGACTGCCTCCACCTAGGCGATATCGGCTAGTATTGAACATCCCAGGAACCATTCACGGTTGTGAGGCCACGGGCGTCCTCTGTAGTCCTGTAGCCACGTAGTGTAAAGCAAGGGCATGTCATGTCAGGCCTTAAAAGGGCGAGTTATGATCTCCCCCTTAAAGTGCCATGGTAAGATCTCCCTCTTAAAGCGCCACAGTAAGATCTACCGCTTTGAAGGGCTTGGAGGTAGATGACGCGGCATGGCGGCAACGAAAAAAGCCAGAGCTGTACTTCGTACATACGCAGTAGAATGCTTGTGGGCAGTCTCTGAATCACACTTGCCATGCAGCTGTCAAGTTGGGAACATTAACCGGGCGCGTACGGTCGATCCGGGCCTCTGGGGATGGCGGTCCTAGCGCCGATGCTAAAACCGGGGTTTGAAGCTGCCACACACACCGTCAGGGAGCTGCATCCAGCAACGTGTGGAGTCAAGTCGTGAGTTTTTGAAGGTTCTCAGGCTTCCTACACAAGACTGCCTACATACCGATGTACATACATGCGCACATCCATGGGCTGTGTCTCTGCATCAGGCATATAACTCGCGTTTTGCCCCTGATCCACGCTCACTACGGCATGTCTCACAGGTCTGATTGCTAGCCGTCGATCCGCACAAAGGGCGGGTTGCGGCTTGCGCCCGAATTCTTGGCTCCCGTTTCTCTTGGCTCCGTCCCAAGAATAAGTTGCGCCCGCCTATCAATGGAAGCGATCTGCGCGGTTCAAGGTTCGGGCTGACATCATATCCCACTTTGAGTTATCTTTGACGCTCTGTTGCGCACACCATCTTCTAGTGTAGAGAAAGCTTCTCGAAATCCAGGCCAGCTTGGTTTTGTGAACGCGTAGTTACTCGGTAGGGAAAACTAAAGACTACCTGGGTAGTTCTGCTTGAAACGTAGACCGGCATTCAGCAGCTGGATCCTGGACAGCGCAAGGATTCAATGATGAATCGACTGATCTCGTTGTTTCCGATCTCTGGAGCCCCGCAGGCAGTTAGCGAGGGGTATTCGCAAGCCAGAGGAGCAGTGATGGATGGAGGCGATGTTGTGGGACAGGACAGGAGTTGTCCCGATTCAGTTCATGTTTCAGGGCGGCGCCAGCGGCGAACAGATGGTCCACTCTCCAGCAGCAAGGGTCGGTTCCCGCATCCCTGTTCCGTTACTGGGCCAGAAGCTTGCCCCAGGCTTACGCTCCAATTGTCCCACCACTTGGGTTCAGCCCCCTGTTGGATGGCCTCCCATCTGCATACGAGGAGACAGTGCGTGCAGCACCCCCAGTCGACTTTTTTTCTCTTTTTTGTTCTTGTTCGGAAGAATTTCTTTCATCATGGTCTAATCTGATGTTGGTTTGTATGTACCGTTGGCATGGATTCCGCATGAATATTCTGTCGAATTCCTCATCTTTTGTGCAGCGATTTCCCTCCTAACTATAACCTGTTCCCATCATCATTTGTTTTGGTGGGGTCGTTCCTTGCCTGAGCTCGTCATTGCGCAGCAACCGAACCAGAGCAGCACAGCAGCACAGCAGCAAGGACGCAGGGACTCGCTTCTCTGCGACAAACACAACTTGGCACCCTCCTGGACGACTTGAGGCCTCGATTCGGATACGAACCACACCAACCGAGGGCCTCAAATCGACACCGTTGCCCGTTCTCCTTCCCATCGATCTCCCCGTCAATTGTCTCGGGCCTTGTCTTGGCTCTTTCCTCCGACCACTTGCTTGCGCCCCTTGCAGAAATCAACCTCACCAGTCTAAACCATACTCTAAACTACGACCGAGCTTAGCTCCTCTTTCCCGCAGGACGTCGCAATCCTTTCCTCATCCGCACCTAGGCCGGACCCCATAGTCCATGCCGTCTTCTCTGCCCCTCGCCGCAACAACGAACTTCGACAAAACGTATTCCAGAACATATCTCCACAGTTGATTACCCCTCCCCCCAGGGCGCCGCTCGATAACGCCCGCTCAGTGACGACCTAGTCGTCCTTCGGCTTCCTGGCGCCGCCATGGAGAACGCCGCATTAGCCATCATTCGCCATGGCACCGACTTGTTGAACCGCACCGAGACCGCTGCACCTGTCCAAGAAAGGCCGCCGGCATTCAAGGCGATTGGTATAGGGCTGGCTGTTGGATCAGGAGCCTTTATCGGGACGTCGTTCGTGCTCAAGAAGGTCGGGTTGCTCAGGGCCAACGAAAAATACAACGAGGTCGCCGGCGAGGGTTATGGATACCTCAAGAACTTCTACTGGTGGGCAGGCATGATACTCATGATCGTGGGGGAGGGCCTCAACTTTGCCGCCTATGCCTTCACCGACGCCATCCTTGTCACCCCGCTGGGCGCTCTCTCTGTCGTCATCACCACTGTCCTATCGGCAATATTCCTCAAGGAGCGCCTCAGCATGGTTGGAAAGGTCGCCTGTTTCTTGTGTATCGTCGGCTCTGTGGTCATCGTCATGAATGCGCCCCATACGTCCTCAGTCAACAACATCCAGGAGATGCAGGGGTTCGTCATCCATCCCGCCTTTTTGACATACGCCGGCGTTGTCATTGTGGGCTCGGCTGTCGTGGCGTTGTGGTTGGGCCCGAAGTACGGAAACAAGAATATGTTGGTTTACATCTCCATCTGCAGCTGGGTTGGCGGCCTGAGTGTCGTTGCGACCCAGGGGCTGGGTGCCGCCATCATTGCGCAGGCCGGGGGAACGCCGCAGTTCAACCAGTGGTTCCTCTACGTGTTGTTGGTTTTCGTCATTGGGACACTCCTAACCGAGATCATCTATTTGAATGTAAGAAATCCCCCAGCACCATCCATGTGCTTGGCTTGCTAATTGGACCGCAGAAAGCGCTTAACCTGTTCAATGCTGCGCTGGTCACGCCCACGTATTACGTTTACTTCACCAGTACGACCATCATCAGCTCCGCTATCTTGTTCCGTGGCTTCAAGGGAACTCCTACATCAATCATTACCGTGGTCAACGGTTTCTTGACCATCTGCGCGGGCGTCGTCCTCCTCCAGCTGTCCAAGTCCGCCAAAGACGTCCCGGACACTGCCATTTTCACCGGCGACCTAGACCAGATCCACACAATTGCCGAGCAGGCCCAGCCCGAGACGGAGCCCAAGGCGGATGCCATCAGAGGCGCCGCTGCCATTGTGCGGAGATTGTCTTCCGCGCGACAGAAGATGGAGCTTGACGAACTGAAACGGCTGCGCGAGGAGAAGCTTCAGGAGAGCCTCGCGCCAGTCAGTGAAGACGGGGCCCCGCAGTATGAGTGGGATGGCATCAGGCGACGGAGGACCGGAACAATCAGCACGCACAGGTCGGGCGGCACCCCAGCACCTACCCACCTCGCACCCCCGACGCCACACCTGCCGCTGGGCTGGTCGCATTTCCCCACCGAGGAGGAGCTTGCCGAAGCAAACAGGCCCGTCTCGCCCGGCCTTTCCAGCATCGTCGGCACGATCCGCACCAGAGCCCGCAGCGTCCTGCCGGGCCACCCCGAGTTCCGCGCCAAAACTCCCGATGCCTCCAAGGTGCAATCTCCGATGCACCCCGTCCAACTCACATCGGTCGCCGTTGCCAGCTCCAAGCCCGCTTCAGACGACGACTTCACAGCCTCGAGCCGCCACGTGCAGTTCGGCCAGCCCACCCGCCACGCCTCGGACGCCAGCGGCGATTCCTTCATCTCTGCCCTGCCCCCAACACCCCCACCCCACGCCACCGCCCGCCGCCAGTTCTCCTTCCAAAGCATGTTCAAACGCAACCAGCAGTCCCACAGCCGAACCGGCAGCACTGACACCACCGACCGCCACCACGGCCATTTCCGCCGCCCGAGCTCCGCCCGCCCCACATCCTCTCGCCAGGGCCCTCCGTCGCGACACAGGCGCGGCGCCACCGAGGAAGAGACCCTCGGCCTGGTCAAGGGCGACTCCAACTCGAGCCAGCCCGACGCCGGCGCCCGCTCCGCGCCGGCCCTGCCCCGCCACGATGACGTCAGCGACGAGGAGGACGAAGACGATGCGAGCTGGGAGGGGAAGGCGTTGGCGAAGGAGGGGGCATATCGCGACAGCGACGGCGACGGCGACGACGGCAAAAATGACCGCAGCTCGGGCCTGTACGGCCACAGCATCACGCGGGGATATGGGCCGGCGCCGGGGTCGAGTCCGCCGCGGTCGTGGCGGAGGGACGGGGAGGGGGAGATCGTTGATGATGGGGAGAAGCCGGGGTGGCTGGAGAGGGGGGAGGATGAGAGGGAGAGGGATGATCGTGCGGGGGCGCGGGAGTATGAGCAGATGAGGAGGCGGTTTGCGGAGCAGAGGCGGGCGAGTGCTGGGAATCAGCGTGGGAATGGGGATGGGTATGGTGGTGGTGGGGATGGGGGGGAAGAGGAGGGGTTGGATAGGCCACCGCCGCCTCCGCCGCATGGGGGGACGTATCGGTCGAGGACGGGGGGGTTCATTTAGAGTTGTTTTGTTTGTTTGGTTTGTTGAGCACATGTCTGCGAAGGGATGTGGATGAGTTCATGATGGTATGAGGTATGATGAGGCGGTTGGTTATATTTTCTTGTTTTGGCTATCCATTCAGGATTCTGTTTTGGGTGTTTTTTTGCGTGGTTGTCGTTGCGGTATGGGCATTGCCGGCATATCGGGAGCAATGTGGATGGCGGTGGCGTGGGGGGTTTGGATCCGGGATAGATGGCGGCATATGCATGGCTTGTATATACATTCTACACGATATGCATTGTATAATACTTGGTGGCATCCATGCGAATGCTATCAATGGATTTTGGTTTGGAATGATCCCTGATGGTGTTCTTACGGCTTTGGAACCATCGCACTAAACGATTGCCTGCTTCTTCCTGGCCAACTCGGCTATTACTCCCTCACTACTCCAACAAACTTCACCTCACCGCTATCCTAACAACACGCATCCCAATCCCGAAACAACTTCCATATATGGCCACCCCAAATAAGGCACCCTGACTTATCTCTTGCTAGTTGATCCTTAGTCAAAACACTGGCTCGCACTCGCTCGCTCAGACTCAATATCAAAATTATCCGCCCCCGAATCCTCGCCCCCGAAAGAATGAGCAGAGTCTCACCGATAAGGCCTGATCTCCCACCTTCTTCCAAGCGCAATCTTGTCCCCGCCCGAATGAGCTGTCCCTCTCAAGCTGTACCACAACCAAACCCTTCCGGGCTGTGAACAGGTTTCTCTCTCGAGTTGACGGACGGGAGGCAACGGTGATCTTCGGATACCGCTCCGACAACGTTAAGCCTGGCCCCATTCTCCGGGGTGCGGTCACTACCCCCTCGAACCGCCAGCATATGGTGATAATCGGTCGCTCCTCCCCTTTCCCACTCACCACGTTGGCTAGATGCCATCAAAGTTGTCCGCTACCACCGGGAAAAGTTGGAGTGGCGTGGTCTCCTCGTCACCAGCCCCTGCGCATCCGCAACGCAACCTGCCCATGTAACTCCAAGACAAGACCGGAATGCTACACTGAAAATAAACGCCATGCTATGCAACCAGAACCCAACCCATGGCCATGCGAGCGGCAACCAGCGGGACAGCCCCTACCAGTCTGCCGCCCAGCCGTTCTGCTCCAAAAACTCCTCGCAGGCTTGCTTGAGGTCGAGGTTCGGCCTTAGCTCGGACGGGTATAGTGGTTCCCGAGTCAATGGATCCTGCGGCTGCCGGCGCAGATGCTCGACGATGGACGCGCGCTCGTAGGATTTGCCGGTTTTGGTCTGCCGCCAGCCTAGGTTAGTACACACTGCGAAACCAACAGCGACAACGACACCCAGAAAAGGGGGTTACTCACAATAACCGGGTCCACCATCACACAAAAACTAATATCATCCACCGCCCAATCCGGCACCTCCCTCCTCCTCTCCCCCTCGGGCCTCGCCTTCTCAAACACCGCCTTCATCGCCTCCACCTTCCCCCTCCACTCCTCCTCGATCTCCCGCCTCCCCTCCTCCCCCAACCCCACCCCGCCCTCCTCCCCTTCTGCCTCCCTCTCCGCCTCCCTAACCGCCTCCTCCCGCCCCCTCTCCAACAACCCCAACACCTCCCCCTCCAACCCCCCCAACTCCCGCACCCGCCTCCTCTCCAGCTCCTCCCACCGCTCCCTCTTGCACCTTAACACGTGCGTCGTGATCGGCCCCAGGCTCTTGTGCTCGGCCGCGCCCCCCGCCACGCACAGCGCGTGCGCCCGCAGCGCGTGCCGCAACGCGTCGTCGTGCGCTCGGAGTGCCAGGTGCGCTTGCGAGAGCGAGTAGTGCGCTTTCATGCTGTCGGGGGCGAGCTGTAGGCACGCCGTGCCGTCGGCCACGGCCGAGTCCCATTGCGAGAGGCGGAGTCGCGCCATGGCGCGGTTGGTGTAGAGGGTGGGGTTGTGCGGGTCGGAGATGAGGCTGGTGAGGGGGGTTAGTATGGAGTGTTTAGGGTTGGGGGGAGGAGGGGGGTTGTGCGTACGCTTGGGAGTAGAGGGCTTCGGCCATCACGTAGTCGCCTGCTTGGAAGCGGCGGTTGCCCTCTTCTTTGAGTTGGGCTGGTTTCGCCATGATGTTGGATGTTGGATGGGTCGTCACGGCATGGCCTGGGATGTTTCTAGGTGAGATTGAGGGCGCTGAAACAACTGTTGTTGCTTCTGCGTCGGGATGCTCGGCCCGGGCCGGGGTTGCTCAACCTAAACCTAACGGTCTCGAGTTGGGCTTTGGGGCTGAATGCGCGGCTGGTGGGTTGCGAGTTTGCTGAGTCGGGTTTCGCGTGGGGTTGTTACAAGTTGGGATAAGGTTTCTTTGAGTATTATTATGTGTCAAGAACCCGAGATATTCTGCGGCAAAAAAGGAGGCGGTATGGCGTCGGGACGCGCCTCCTGATAAAGGTCGACTGCCGGTGTTCGGGGCAAGCTGATGCAGCTTTGGTGGGGCATCGCGGCTGGAAGAGGTACCACTGAATAACTCCCCGCGATAGCTCTCCGGCCGAAGAGTGGGGTCCCACAGCGGCTCCGATTTGTCAAGACCGGGAAGATTCTAGAAGCCGAACTCTCCGGTCACAACCAAAACCGCCATACCAGCGAGCTGTCGCTTTGCGCTAAATTTTGTTAAATAGGAGAAGTGACAGGGCGAGGCTGATTCTTTCGGCGTTTTTAGCCCAATTCTTGAATACATACATGACAAGTGACAGCGCCGCGCCTCAAATGGAAAAGGCCCTTGCATTCAATGTCGGGCTTACACTCACAAAGTCAGCCCCGCCATTCGGGTCGGGTCCCGCGTCAATGTCAATCTGATTTCAGACGACGACCCTGGATTATCCCACCGGCCTTCTTTGCTCAGTTTCACCACCCAGACAGCTGACGTATGTGCAATCATCTAAATGCTGAAGGAAAAGCGGTTGCCTTGCATAGTGTGTTTCTTGACTCAAAACAGTTGTTTTCGCATGCACGTCGCGCAACCAATTGCGTGGCTCTGCAGGCAAGGCACTCTTTAAACCAGGCACCAGGATCTCGCTGAGCGGGGAAGGAACATCATCGGAAGGAGAGTCAAGGAATGAGATGAGAGGGGCGTGAGGCACTTATAACTTAGCGGAACACACACGTAACACAATACAAAACATCAAAAAGCCAACTCATATTTCCTCTTCTAGTACAATCACAACAACCCAGCATGGCCAGCCGCACCCTCAACACCGCCTCCTTCAACCGCTCTGCGGATCCCCAACTGTCGTCACGCTTCTTCACCCTCCCTGCCGAGATCCGGAACCTCATTTACCTCGAATTCTGGAAACTCAATTGTGCCCACCAGCACATCGTGAAACACGAACTTCCGGAGGACGACCACCCACAAGGCTTCACCGAGCAGTGGTCGCATGTGCCCTGTATCACGGATCCATCCGCCCCGGACACGCGGTGGCCCCAGTACGCTGACAGCCAGCCCGCGTCCGAGGAGAGGCAAGTCTGGGGCAAGCGGCTCAAGAGCGAGTGGTGTCTGCACTGGGCTTGCGAGGAGCAGGCCGGAGATGCCGCCAAATCCACGGGGTGGATCGCCCTTAAAAGGGTGAAGCGGCCCGGGGAGGGAAACGAGCATGCCGACGATGAATTCGAAACATACCCGATCCCACCTGGGCTAGGGAGTGCACTACAAAAACGTTCTGGCAACCTACCACACTGGACAATGGAGAAGGGGTTTGGCCAGTCTGGCCGCAAAACCAAGGCGGGACCCATGAGCGTTCTCACCACGTGTAAGCGGATGTGAGTAGACTAGAACAGTACCCAACCAACAGCTTACCAAAGCCCCTTTCTCCCCACCGCATGACATACTAACTCAAGCCCAGGTACCTCGAAGCCCTACCCTCCCTCTACGCTAACACCACCTTCATCTTCACCGACACGCGCACCGCAGTCGACTTCCTCGCCCTCTACACCAACAGCACCAACCCTGACCAGCACCCCATCCGGTCCGTCGAGATCTGCATCCGCGTCACCAATCTGATCACCGAGATCTACTACCCGCCCACCGACCCGCACGGCAACGGCAACGACACAGGCCCCCCCGCCATCTTCGCCGGCCGCGCCCGCCCCGCGCTCTCCATGGCGCACAACCCCTGGCAACAGCTGTGCGACGCGCTGGTGGCGCTGCCCCACCTCCACAACCTGCACGTGTGGCTGGACTCGAGCGACCTGCGGCCGTGGCACAAGCGCGTCAGCGAGACGCGGTTCCTGGGCCGGCTGTTCGACGTGCGCGGGCCGGGGCCCGGGCGTTTCGTGCTGAGCCTGCCCGAGCTGCCGGAGCGGCGCGGGCCGGATACCCACGTGTTGGGGGACCAGTATCTCGAGGGGGAGAGGCTGGAGGGCGCGCCGTTTACGGTCGAGAGGGGGCCAAGGCCGAATAATTGGCGTGTGCATCTGAGGAATATTGTGAGTGTTGGTGCGGTGGCGGCTATCGGAGCGTAGGTGTAGGGTGTGTGCGTGTATGTGTATGGGGGGCGGTAGTGTGTGGTGGGAGTAACATATCGGTCGTCATATCGTTTAGAGCATAGAAAGCGAGCTGTAAGGTGCGAATCCCCCGGACGTGTCTACCCAAGCACTTGCACTGTACAAATTCCATCTACTGAAAGGAGCTCCAAAACACACACTTTTCTCGTGATGACCACCAACGAATCAGTGCCATCCACTGCCCAACCGCAGACTGCAAAAAACCGAGTAAATTGTCCCACACAAATGCCCAAAGCTAACAACGAAATCCCGGACAGACAGGCCAGTTCCAGCGCCACATCATGCCCCCCCAAGAACCGGTTCCACCACGCCAGAGGTGTGTGTATAAGAGGAGGAAGCGAAGAACAAAAAATGTACAGCCGGTCGACCAAGCGAGTGACAAGAAAGGTCCAAAAATATGCCCACCCCATCCAGCCCATGCCAGATGTACATACATACCCCCAAAAATGAAGAGTCCCAAGCCCAAATCATCGCGTCCCAACAAAACCCACAGCATCATCCAGCCTCAAACCCATGCATGACGATGACACCGGAGCATCCCACCCCCCCTCCGTAACGCCGACCAACGCGACCGAAAAAAAAAAAAAAAACACGACAAGCCCACCACTAACTATTTTACTCGTCACCACCCATCTTCCCGGCATCGAACAAACCACCACCCCACCGCCCAGTCATACACACATACAGACCCCACCAATGACAAGACAAAAAAAACCAACCCACTCAGCACTCAGCACTCAGTATGCCTGCCCCGGCGCCGGACTCACATCCCCCTCGCCATCATCATACCCATCACCCCTCCACCCCCCGTGCTGCAGGCGCGGACTCGGCGCGCGCCGCCCACCATAGCGATCATCCTTGGCCAGGGGCACCGGCGGGAACGCACCGCCACCGCCACCACCACCACCACCGGCTGGGGAGCGCGGCCGACTGCTACCTTGGCCGCCGTTGCCATGGCCGAAGTGGAATGAGGGGTTGATGGGGGGCCCGCCGCGCTGGTTGCCGCTGTGGTTGGCGTGGGGTGGGCCGGGTTGTTGTTGTTGAGGGCGGGGCTTGACGGGGCGGGTGGAGAGGCAGGTGCGGGGGACGACGCCTTGTTGGGAGCGGTCGAGGCGGATGCAGAGGGCCTTTTATGAGGGCGAGGGTGTTAGTTTGGGTGCGGCTTGGTTTGGGGGGGAAAGGGGTAGAAAGGGGGGAGAAAAGGGGGGACATACCCAGCCGTCGTCATACTCGTGGAGCAGGCGCACTAGTTGCCCCGCGTACAGGCCCATCTCGTCTTGCAGCGTCGGCTTGAAGTCGAGTTGCACGCGGTGGACGGTCGACTGCGAGGGCCCGCCAGCCGCCGCAATGGCTGCCGCGCTCGCCGAGGGACCCGGGGATTGGCCCGGCGCCACCGAGTGCATCGAGAACTCGGTCCCGGACGGGCTCGGAGGCATGGCGTACAGCGGTGAGGGGGGTTTGGTTAGGTCGAGGGGTTTGGGCAGGTCCTTGCGAATCGAGGTCTTGCGCGTGAGGTTGGACACCATGCTGGGCTGGCGGCGGTTGTCGTCCTCGTCGTCGCCGAGGATGGGCGAGACTCGGTTCTGGGATTGAGTCGGATGTCGTTGCGACGCCGACGCGGTGGTCGAAGGAGCCCATCGAGCTGATGGGGCTGACGGGTTCGTCGGGCAGCCGGTTGTTGTCATGGAAGGGGTTCGGGTGCAGGCTCGCGCTTGTGTCGGGCCGGCTGTGATCACCGTGCGGGCTGGCCATAGTCGGGCGCTCCCAAGCGCTGCCGCCTGTCGGGCGGCTCAATGCCGAGTTGGAGACCGGGTTGAGAGTCAGGGCGATGCCCCGGCTCTGGCGCCTCTCGCCATGTTGGGCGTTAAAGTTGGGAAGGAACTGCGTGACCGGGCGCAGGCTAAGGCGCGGAGCCTTGGCCGGGGGAACTGGCCGGATTTCGGCGCTGTCGGCAAAGGGACCGTTGATCTTCTCGTCGTCTTCGATCTGCTGCCTCCGCCTTGCGAGCTTCTTCCTCCGCGAGTTGAAGATCAGATACACGAGGACAAAAATTGCCAGAATACCCGCCAGCGCGCCGATGACAATGCCAGCCTTGGCCGCCCCGCTGATTTCGCCGGAGTCGCTCTCGCTTGGCTCCGCGGTTGCTGACGAGCTCGGCGTGCTCGTTGACGTCTCTGCTACAACCAAGGTGGTACTGGCTGCGGTCGTCGTCGCTACTGGCGCAAGCGCAAGAGACGTAGCGTCGGCATCATCGAGCGGTGGACGAGAGATGGCAGGTGGCAATACTGCCGGGGGGAGCGATGTCGAGGTGCCATCTTGCCTTTGGTTTATCCTCGGTGGGCTGTCCGGAGATGCAGCACCCCTCCTCTCTGCCTGACCCGGGGCGAGCATATCCCTAACCTCACGCTTCACCACTACCCACAATTCTCGCGCTGCCATGGTCCTCGGTGTGCAGTGCGTCGAACCGCACTATCTGCCGCCGTATCGTTCTGCTGGTGTTGCCGATCAATTTAGAGCTGGCCGTTGAATTCCCACTCTTAAGAATGATAATCGCCTGCGTCCACAAAGCATCCAGCCCGAGGGCGAGACTCGGGTTTCACGTTATTGCGAAGATGGGTACGAAAAAAAAGGGAGCGAGGACAAAGAATGGATTGTTGCGGCGTGGTGTATGCGCGGATAAAGCGATTCGATCGGAGTTTTGAGGAAAAAGGAATGTATATAACTAGTTAGTTCTCGCAAAAAAGAAGGCCACGAGAAGGTGTCAAGTCTCAGCCAAGCATCATATCACAAGAAAAAAAAAAACCACCGAAGGGCTCGGGAAGATGGTCGCCGATAGCAAGAGGAGGCGCCGGCGTGATGTGGGAGACGAGCGCTGCGAAGTGCTTGGGGAGATGGGGTTGTTGGCGCTAACAAAGAACCTGGGTGCCCTGCTCCCCTGCGAGTGATGAGCAGAAGTGTGGGAGTGTGGGAGTGGGCTGCAGAAAGAGGTGGAGGTTTGGTTGCACCCCAGCAAACCGGGGTCACCAGGGATCAGCGTGCGAGTTGGGCGCCGCTCATCCTTCGCTGACAGGGTCCCTTGGGGATGGGAAACTTTGGCCCTGGTCTTGCAGGCAGCTAAGGTACGATACCTCGTTAGCTGGCTCGCCGCTCGACGAACGAATGCTGCGCCGCTGGCGAAGCTGCCGTTTACAGGAGAACCTGGTTCTGGGATTTTGTTGGTTCCGGCTGTTCGTGTTGTGAGCTCCAGCCCGCGTTCGCCCCCTTTGGGCCAACATCGGAACCAACAGATCATTGATTCCCGTCTCCCGTCGGGAGCAGGTTTCCGCATGGCCACAACACTCTGTGTCCATGGATCGATGTTTCGAAACCAAAGGCAACCGCTGCTCGTCTGAACTGAATTCCCGCCCGTGTTGCTTGAACGGGACCCATCTTGAGTGTCATTTCAGGGACCTGTTTGCCTTGATTGGCCGAACCGTGGGAAGCGAGATTGCCGGCAACAACGCCATTGGACAGCAACGAGTGGATCTGCAGACCCCCGCCAGCGTAAATTTGGCAAGTATGGCTCGCAAGGTCAGGCCTGGGGTCTCAGCGCATGGACGATGCGAATTGCGACATGCTTTTCCAGAATCAGTTAAGTCTTCAACGCTCAGGGATCGAGTGGGGACGATGTGACGACCTTGGTTGTCGGCTTCGTCCGAGCAAGATCAGGTTTGCGGTTTCATAGGGTCGAACTTTTACACCTGTGTCTTCGACCTTGAAGTGCTGAGGGATATCCGTGGCTGAGTCAAGCTGAGGGAGGGTCAGATGCAGCTCAGCTGCAGCGCCGACAGTTGTAGTTGCTATTCTCAGCGCCACCGTTGGTTGGTGCCTCCTTAAAGACACAGAGTTAACTGCATCCAGAAAACCCGCAACGGATCCAAGGTTGCGGGGACAAAAGGATTTTCCCAATACTACAAACCACCAAGAAATTGCTGTGGTACCGATCCCGAACCGGATTTCGTTCAACTCCAAACGAGCGATCACCAGTGGTAAACAAACGGGCACCCAGCATCGGTGACACAAGCACTCACAAGGCGGCACTACCGTCGATTTGAAACAGCCGTGGCTTGCAACGGCGCCCAGGAAAGAGAGACATTGTGGATTCGCTTCACCCCGCTGCGGTCGCCTAAGTGGGGAGATGACATCGCTCAGCCTTCAGTTGCCTCTTGATGTCTCTTGCTGGTGCGATTTTGATCGAGCCTCCGATTTTGATAGGGGGGCAAGTGCCTTGTTTCTGTGTTGATCCCGTCGGACATCTTGCACAGGATTGAGACAAATTCGCCCCAACCCTGAAAAGACGACAAACGGAAGGAGGCACAGTGACAGCTCGATAATCACTTCCGGATAGGGCAATTGGCGCCGCCGATCGCCCCCAGGAACCGAGGCTTTGCAGTCACAGTTGCAATCTTCATCAGGATGAATTGACAGTTGATGGCCGTTTCCTCTATTCTGGACACATCATGAATAAACTACACGTAGCTTAAGGGAATCGAAACAGCAGCAATGCTGGCGATTGCTCCTTACTTAATCTATCCCCGACTCGCTGTGCCGTCCCAACCCTAGCCCGATGTTTGGATGCTTTCATGAGCCATACGTGGATATCCGTCTACTCTGGAAAGAAGAATCATTTTCAAGCCGGGGGCATTTGTGGCGTCGGATTAAGTCCATATTCATCCGCACATCAATGTACAGTGTTGTGTATCGCAAAGCGGCTTTGGCATCATCGCTCGATGTCACACTCGATCCGCGAGAAAATCCGGTTGGGCCGGCCATGTAATCTCTGTCGTGTAGTACGCTGAGGCGACGTCGCGCGCTGAGCCGCCTGCTTCGCCGCTTGGGGGTGGTTTAAGATGGCCCAGCAACCTGAAGGAACTTTCAACTCCGCAAGCCAATCTTGAAGAAGCACACTGTGAGTTTGGGGGCGTCTCTGCCCGGCATTACTGGCTTGGCCCCTGGCCATAAGCACCGTGCGGCTGCTGAGGCCAGTACTGCTGCCCTTGCTGCCCTGGTTGCCCTTGTTGCGGCTGCTGGTATCCGCCAAAGTATGCTGCGTTGTATGCGCCCGCCGCGGGAGGTGCCTGCGGCGCAGCGCCAGGTACCGGCCATGCCGGGGTTTGGGGGGGAACAAAAGGCTGCGCATAAGTAGTTGCATGTGCCGGCTGCTGGGGAGGGGGTGACTGTTGGTGGGGAGTCGTTTGAGGGTATTGGTATTGCTGGCCCTGGTTTTGGTTCCAGGCCTGATAGTTGAAGTTGAAATTGCCTGCGGGGGGTTGATGATGCGGGAGAGGGATCTGTGGTTGGGCAGGCGGCGAGTATGCCGCGACGGAAGGGGGCACATAGGGGACATGAGGCGCCGGCCATTGCGCTGCGGGTGCCGGAGGCTTTGCGCCGAAGGGGGGAGGGGGTAGATGAGGGTTTTGGAGAGGAGGTGGCGGGGCGTTAGAAAAAGCCGTCTGGGGTGAGGAGGCGCCGTCCCGGCCATACTGTTGATACGAACCGCCGCTGCTCCCCCGTGAGCTGTGTCTCCGGTCGCCACCCCGATGGCCACCGCCGCGCTGACTGCGCCCACGGAAATCGCCGCGCCCTCCGCGGTGCGTTCCGCGGTGACCTTGGCCACGACCGCCACGTGGCGGACTGAACCCGCCCTCGGGCTTCGGGGGCAAGGCGGGAAGGGACGGTGGCCCGCCTTGGCCATACCCAGCAGGTCGGGTCAGAGGCTTGTACGGGCCATCTTCGTCCTCGTCGTAGTTGAGGCCGGAACCAGCTGCCGGATTAGGAGGCAGGGCATGGCCAGCCGCATTGCTCTGGTCCCGCCCGCCGCGGCCCGCCTTACCTCCTCGCCGTTTTTGCTTCTGCGCTCTCTTGTACTCGGCTTCCTTTTCATCGTCAGAGAACTCCATTTCCTCGGCAGGCAGCTCCTCGTCGTGAAGATTGCTGGCATCGGTGCCCTTGGCTTCCTTCAACGGCTGTGTGAAGACGTAGTTTGCGTGCTGGACCGAATAGTAAATCGGCATCCCGGTGGCCAACTCGAGGCTCTTGATCTCGTCCTCGGTCGAGAACCCGACCGTGTACATGGGGCTCCGGACATTCCCCAAGACTTCGGCCAGCGCGCCAATGACTGTCCGGTCTTCCTTGCAGAGCACAGATCCCGAATCTAGCACCTGCACCTCTCCTGGCGTTTGCGATTTGATGACAACGGTGGTCTCGACGATAAACTCGATATTTCCCAGGCGCTCAATCTTCATCTCTGGTGTGATGTTGACGTCGGGCTTGGGAATAACGGCTTCGGCTACCTCGTTTTTGGTCCGGAGAGCTGCCCCGGTACCTTTGGATTTGCCGTTACCGTCGCCGTCTCCATCACCATCTTCAGCCATCAGAAGACGCGCTGTCTCTTCAATGCCAAGCAGGGGGTAGTCGCCCCCGTCTTCTGAATCGTCATCCGAGTCGCTCTCCGAGCTGGAAGACTCCGAAGACGACTCGTACGGCGATGAATCAGCCTCCCATTCCGGCTGCTCCCCCTCTTGTTGCGCACCTGTCGCGCTCTGTTGTTGCGCCGTGTTGCCTTCCTCCTCATTCTGGGTCGGTTGGGGGGGCTCCGTGATGTGCGACATCATACCGTCAAGCGCGGCCTCGAGTGCATGCGTAACATCCGGACTGGGCGCATCGTCACCCGTCTTCATGTCGACATCGGGCACTGGGGCTTCCACCACCTTTGGTTCTTGGTCGGGCATCTGGATATCTCCTTTCGTCTCTGGGTGGGCAGACATCGCGTTCGTGTCGCCTGTGTCGAGTTCCATGCCATCAACCATCTTATCAGTCGCTGTGCTTGTTTCTGTCGCCACCTTTTCTTGCTTCTCTTCTTGCTCTTTTTTCTCCCACTCCGCATCCCCGTTAGTAGCTCCCTGAGCAACCGTATCCTCCCCCATTATACTTGCGGCGGCGGCGATGAGATCGGGAGCGAAGTTTTCGACAGGCAGTTGCTCGTTCGGTTTCGCCTCGCCCAGGCCAGGAATCTGAAAAGGTACCCCCGCCATTCTGTCGACCTGACAGTGAGCAAGTCGCTTTGCTAGGCCTGGCAACCAATGGCAGGTCGTAACAACAATATTGTTGAAATGAAACCCTCAAACTGCAGATATGCCGGTTGACAGGACGTGCCTTACAGGACTGGGTGATCGAACAGAACCGATAAGTCGCAATCCGCCGAGGGTTGGAAAGACTAATACAAGGAAGAGAGTAAGATAAGGGGCGCAATTGCAGATATGATACCACGAGATATCGAAAAGACCTAAAAAACAAGGCCAACTAGAAACGATGTACTCAAGGAACTGACAGTGAAGATTTCGATTCCGAATAAATTATGGATCTGGAATCTGAAAAAGTTCATGGCTGCCAGTCAGGGTGGGATGGACTGCAGAAACGCACGGGCCAAAGCGGGAGCGCTATTCCTCCCATAGACTAGCGCCTCTGGGCGTCTCAAGCTTCCAGCTCAGTGGATGCTCAACAACTTCCAGATTCCAGCTCCAACATTTTGCAGCCGAATGTTATGTTGAGGTCGTTGCCAGTGCCAGTGCAACCTGGAACTGTCAACCCCCGACCTAAGGACCAGATCACCAAGTACGACAATGGCTCCCAAGGCCACGCCCAAAGCTGAGCCCAAGACGGCATCAAATGAAGAAAAGAAGATATTTGTGCATCCGTCAGCCAAACATGCCCGTAAAACGTAGGGTCACATTAATCACGTTGCAGCTGTTGGGACGACGGCTGACAGAATATCACTTCACAGGGCCATCAAGAACGCCTTTGCGATTGAGCCCATTTCGGCTTTCTACATGTTTCTGGGTGCCAACCTCATAGCCGCCCTCTTCGCCCCGATCCAGGACTGTGACGAGACCTTCAATTACTGGGAACCCACGCACTACCTCAGCCATGGCTATGGGTTGCAGACGTGGGAGTACTCCCCCGATTATGCCATCCGCAGCTGGCTATACATTGCCATCCACGCCATCGGCGCCAACTTCCGCCGCCTGCTACCACACTCGACCAAGGTCGCCGAATTCTACTTTCTCCGCTACGTGCTCGCCTTTGCCTGCGCTCTCTGCCAAACGCTCATGTGGAGGGCTGTCTGCCTGGCATTGAACCCACGTGTCGGCATTATCTTCATCCTAGCACTAGTCTTCAGCCCAGGCAACTTCCATTCCAGTACAGCCTACCTACCGTCCAGCTTTGCCATGTACATGGCTATGGTGGGCGCCGCCTGCTTCATGAACTGGCGCGGCGGCCTGAAGACGTCGCAGGGCATGTTCTGGTTTGCCTTGGGCGGCGTCCTCGGCTGGCCCTTTGCCATTGCCTTGTGTGCACCCTTCGTTTTCGAGGAGGTCTTTTTTGCCATGCTGAGCGATAAGGAACGTTTCTTCGAGGCGTGCATCAGGCTTGTGCGCGGTGTGGTAGCGACGCTGGTGCTAGTAGTACGTGAACCCCCACCCCGTTTACATGTTCCCATCTGCTAACTCCACATCAAGGCCGCCGATACCGCCATCAACGCCTTCTTTTACCGAAAGCTTGAATTCGTCTCGTGGAACATCATCAAGTACAACATCTTCTCCAACACCGGCGGCCCTGACCTCTACGGCACCGAGCCGTGGACCTTCTACTTCAAAAACCTCCTTCTCAACTTCAACATCTGGTTCATCCTCGCCCTCCTCTCCCTCCCACTCTTCCTCCTCCAAAAACTCTTCTCCCGCCGCAGCACAGGCGAGTCCTTCCAGTCCGGCCTACGCACCGTCGTCTTCCTCTCCCCCTTCTATATGTGGCTCGCCATCTTCACCCTCCAACCCCACAAAGAAGAACGCTTCATGTACCCGGCCTACCCCTTCCTCGCCCTCAACGCCGCGCTCGCCCTCCACACCTTCCTCACCCTCTTCGGCAACGCCGACCCCAAGACCTCCCTCCTCGGGCGCATCCCCGCCAAGCTCAAGCTCGCCGCGATCCTCCTCCCCCTCGCCGCGTCCGCCGCCATCGGCGCCGCGCGCGTGTGGGGCCTGCACGCGGGCTACCACGCGCCCCTCGCGGTGTACACCCCCCTCACGGACAGCGCCGTCGCCGGGCCCGGCGACACCGTGTGCCTGGGCAAGGACTGGTATCGGTTCCCGACGTCCTTCTTCCTGCCGCGCGGGATGCGCGCCAAGTTTGTGCGCTCCGAGTTCCGCGGCCTGCTACCCGGCGAGTTCTCCGAGGCCCGCACGGGTTTTGGGTTTTGGAGTGGTACCTGGCTGCCGACCACGGGGATGAATGGCCGCAATGAGGAGGATGTGGGCAAGTATGTGGATTTGAGGGCGTGCGTGTTTTTGGTGGATAGCCATTTCCCCGAGAGGGTGGGTGCCGAGGAGGGGGAGTTGCCGCCGAATGAGCCGGATTATTCGAAGGATGTGGATCGTTGGGAGGAGGTGCTGTGTCTGCCGTTTTTGGATGTGGAGAGGACGCATTTTCTGGCGAGAGCGCTGTGGGTGCCGGACTGGGAGGTGGTGCCGGAGCGGTTTAGGAGGAAGTGGGGGAAGCATTGCTTGTTGAAACAAAAAAAATAGGAGCGGCGTGACGATTAATGATTATGGCTTGAAGGTGGTGGGGAAGGAATAGCGTAGATAGATAGATGTTTGGTGAATAGGTGTTTTAGTTGTTGATAGATTTAGCCTGAGTCGGCACATGTGAGAAAGACGTTGAGTTGAGTTCATCGCCATTTCATGGGTGTAAATCATCTTTGCCACTTAGGCAGTTACATGTATAGTATACAAGGCAAAATCCTCCACATGATTGTCCGACGCCAACCATGCCTCTCCAGGCGCATAAGTCCATATCGCGACACATAAACCGGCGAGCATCAACGGACCCATCCAGCCTATCTAATGACCCTCAACCACTCGGCATCCCAAAACGACTATCCAGCAAGTCAGCAAGTCATTCCCAGCCCAGTGTTAAAAAGTGAAGGGGGATAGCGATTAAACAGTGCAGGGGTGGCGACGGAGATCAAACATACCACTTCACAATGGTCCAGCAACATCTCCTGGTACCCAAGCCACGTCACCGGCTGCATACTATCTTCTTCTTCCTCGATATCGAGAAACTCGATCTCACCCGGCTCACCGTCCGGCACACCCATGTCGGCCACGCCCGGCACCGGCCCGAACGACGGCCACCAGATCCGCTTGTCGCCGCCCCACGTCGCGGGTGGACAGTCGAACCTGGTCTTGTCGGGCGGGTCGCTGTATGAGCGGACGACGCGCAGACCGGCTTGCTGCTCGGCGGCCGTTGGGCCTGCTTCCTGTGCTGCGGCCGGTTCGGGGGGAAGTAGGCGGCGGAAGACGAGGGCTTTGAAATCGACTTGTCTTCCGATGCAGAGTTCCTGTAGGTTGGGCATGGTCGCGAGGAAAGGCACGGCCATCTGGTGCCAGCGGTTAGAGGGACAGGCAGGGTGGGTCTTGGGCAAGCGCGTGTAGTGTCTGGTGACCGGGCAGAAAAGCTCGTCTGTCAAGGCAAGCTGACGCAGGTTTCGGAGGGGTGCAAAAAGTAGCGCGATATCTTGTGACTTTTATGCATGTGGTGTTAGTCCGATGGGCAGATGAAAAGCAAACACGGGAAGGGTGGTGGCAAAAAGGGAGGCGATCACTAACGTTAACATCCATACTGGCGACATCTGTGCCAAGGCAACCTTCAAGAAAAAGCCGCTCGATTTTGGGGAATTGCAAGACAATAGCTGTTTGGCTGTGGTTAGGCCATGCTATTTGGGCACACTCTCTTACAACGGGGAACTCACCTTTGATATCCGCAGCAGTCCATCCTTTAACCGTCGACTTGAAGATGGACATGGCCCGGAGACGCGGAAACCCCCCCTTTAATGCCGTAATCTCCCGGGACAGCCTGGAAGGGTGCCCTTGTCCGGTACCTCCATGGATATTGAAGTTGACGGCCTCGAGGTTGGGGAAGCACGGGAAAATACTGCTCATCTGGCTGGCTGTCCGCACGTAGAGCGATTTGACGGTGGGAAATGACTGGTACCTGGGGTTTAAGTATGACCGCAAAACTACCTCTATGCCGTGCTTGCCGTTATCTGCTACGAACCGTAGGTCTGTAAGTTTCGGCATTTCGAGCAGCAGAAGAGATAGTTCCACAATGAGTTTCTCTCGTGTCCAAGGGTTTATTTTGCGGCCAAACGTGTGAATAATTCTTGAGCCGATGCATCTGATCGAGAGTGATCTAGCGGACTGCATTAGCTGATGAAACGAAAAAATGGGGATAACTAAGGCGTGAATTACGTGGATTGATGGAGGAGGCCTTGCGGCCCTTGCCCCTCGATGCGGATGTTTTGAATGTGCTGGGGCAAATCGTCCTCAGCCATCCACATCCGGACCCGACGTAAAAAAAGCAGACAAATATTTCGGAATCTCCGGTTTACTAGGGACAAGGACTTGACGCCCGCTTTGCTATACTGGTCAAGAGGCGTGCTGTCGTCGAACCGCGTTGCCACCCACTCGGCAATCATGCAAAGGATCTCAGTGGGAAGACCCACCAGGTTCGTTCTGGCGTTCATGGTTGCTAATGCAGAGCCGGTATTGTCAAAAGGGACCAGTGTTGGCGATGAAAATGCTGTTGACGAAGTAGCTGGTTGACGGATCGCGTTGGTTGAATACTTCTGGTAGTCAAGTTGAAGGCCTGCATTGACAAGAAGTTGACGGGTCGCTAGTTTGTTGCACCGGGGAAAACGGTGGAGGGGAAGAGGGCGAGGGGAGTAGATTTTGGATGGGAAAACTCTGTGGTTAGCACTGTGTTTGAAAGTCTGCCCCGTTTTCTTGTGCGTGGAAAGTGTGACGTTGTCTGTAGACAAGTAGAGCCGTATCGCCGGATTGTTTTGTTGGATGGTACTGAGGTTTGAGATATGGAAGAAAGTACCCAGGTGCCTTATGTACCTAGAATTTCACTTGCTGGGGCGACCATGTGAGGTGGTCATCTCCTCACGGGGTTCTAGTTCGGTGTCACTTTAGAATAGTAGTAGGGACAATTAAGTTCATTGACATCGCAAGCAGCCTCATTCTCCACCAAAACTGGGTGTGGCTGGAGACCAGGGCACGATTAGATGGATATACCTAAGATAGCCTGCAACATACGGTAGGGCCGAGCGCCCTGGTCTGGATGGCACCTGCCATGGAAATACATTGAAAGTCTGAACAGCCGCTAAATGCATTTCCCTCGCATTAATAGTATTAGAAGTGGTTGCCGGCCTTTGAAACCCAGCGTCATGATATTTTCCCTTCCCGGTACTAGCCAGCAGGGGATATTAGGGGGTACGCCAACTGTGGCCGCTGTGAGAGCGTGACGCTCATAAGAGTGGAAGGGCCCGGCCTGCCTAAGCACTTCCTTCAGGTTCTCTTGAATTCCGTCAGAACATCGTCACCTTAACCATCCATGCCCACCCAACTAACAGTGGTATCAACCACGCCAAGAACATTGCCCACCGTGTTCGATCCACAGCACGTAATAGTCGCATCCATTTCTTGACCCTCGTCTTGAGCATCCTTGAGTGTGGACACGTCCTGGTGCCATAGATTAGACAACCTAGGCCGGGCCGCGATTCGCACTCGATGTGCTCTCTCCTCCGTTGCATTAACAACCTGTTTCCGGTATTAGCCGCTGTCACGCTCGGCCGCCGAGTGAAAAGAGTTGATAAGAAATCAAACGGGGTGAGTGGAAAACGGGGAAATGAAAATAAAATAAAGAAAAATTAAGAACATACTTGACGCTGCCCCGGCAAAACCTCAAGTCGCTCCCCAGATCACAGCGCGAATCACTGGGGCACTCCAAATGCAGTAGCCGCCGCTCCATGAGCCATTCCACTTTCAGCTCCACACCCGTATCGACCACGTTGTAGAAATAGCGGTTGGTATGTTTGAGCGACAGCGCATCAGGGTAGATGAGATGTTCCACGATGAGTAGGTGGATCTCGGGAGGTAGGCTTGCGAGGGTCCGGCGGCGACGTTGTTTCCGAATTGGAATCGCTTCCGGACTCGCGGATAATATGGAAGATTCATCCTCTTCGGGTGCGATTTTGCGATTTTGTGATTCGATGGCCGACCTTTCGAATCCGGCCGGCGCCGGTTGCCGGACACGGCGGACGAGGGATGCCATGTTGGTCACGGTCGTTGGCTCAGCTGGTGGATTGCGGGGCAGGATTCGGGAGTTGGGTGGGTTTCAGCTGAGACGGGGATGGAAGGCCCGGGCGCAACCAAGATTCGGGCTGAACTTTGTGCGGTGTTGCGGTGCGGTGGTGCGGCGAGGTGCGGTGCCTCAGCGGCGGTGGAGGAGAGGTGAACAGATGACCTTGGGGTAGTGATCAAGTTTTGTTTTGCTCATTCCTGCTATTTCGGAGGAAGCCAACGTCTCGAAACACAGCCGCGTTCCATGTGGCCTTTTGGCCGCCAGGCCGGTCGGTCAGCCCTGGCGATAGGCGATCCCAGATTCGGGAGATGGATGCCCCGGCTAGTGGTCAGGTCAGGCTCTTTTTACCCCTGTTAGGCACAAGCCGGTGCCTGGCTAAACCTAATAGGGAGACTTGACGGTGGGCAGTTGCGTCATCTTGAGTGACTCGTCGTTGCAGGCTGCAGCAAGAGCATGCCAATACGAAGTGTTAACCGTCGCGGCGACTTTTTTATCGAGTCATGAGATCCAGATCGACGGTCTGCAGCACTTGCTTGACAGCGAAGCTGGGGGGCTTACGAAGAAGGTAGTCAGTGTTTCTGATGACCGTCACCGGGTAGCGAGAAGCTGCGGCTTTGGCTCGCTCTGGTGCCTTTTTTTACTTTTTTTTTTTTTTGGCACGCTTGGTCGGTGCGTCTCTGGGCAACAGTAGCCCATCGCTTGTCTTCCACCTAACTACCTCCGGAGAGGGCTCCCTGAAAGCTGCAGTAGCCCATTCCAGAGAGGAGAGATGCCCGGCGGGTTTTGCAAGGCGACGGGATTTGGAATCTGCAGGGCTCAGGGGAACCTGCACGCGGGAGCTCACAAAGACGCAGAGGCGCACAAATGCACGCAGTCGCGAATCACCGGAGTTCCATTGAAACATGGCCCAGGCGTGCCAAGTTCATAAAGCTTGGTATTTCTCAGAGATCCATTTCCCCCACGTGAGCACGCGTGGGCGGCAATCCAAGGGACGATCTGGGGTTACCTAAGTGGTGGGCCTCATCGTTGGATAACTAACTAAATGAGGGGCAACCTACCTAAACCTACCAAGGCAATCCGACGCGAGGCTCTCAGCCTGCGTGTTGGAATATGTTGCAACACCTCGATTGCGTCTGAGCAGAGCAGCCGAATTGCTATTATGAATTAAGTTTGCTAGAATGGCGGACTTTACGTCGGACAGCGGGAGCGACTATGGCTACGACCTGACGACGTCTGATGAGGAGCAGGTCTGGTCGGTTATCGATGAACTCGCCCCAGCGTCGCCACAAAACCGTCCCGCTCCAGCGAACTCTTCGACCCATACAAGAAACCAAATCGCATCGAGCCCGTTCGACCCAAACAACAACCCCGATTTCGACCCCGATGCGAGTCTTGTTGAGGAAGCCGTTGCTGCTATTACCGATGATGATCTGAGTTTTGATGTTACGGAGCTCCAGGAGGACAACGATGATGCTTATGGCCAGGGTCAAGGCGCTGCGTATGTGCAGCGGTCTGCCACGCGCAATGGCACGCCGGAGAGTTATGATAGAAGGCTCGCGCCTTCAGTTCCAGGGGACGATACCGGGCTTGCTTCATTCGTCGCTACGACCAAGCCCAGGCCCATGCCCACGTTGCTTCCAGGCCCGGACGTTAGCTACCCGGATCGTGAGTTGTTTCCCGCCGCCTCCTTGCGCAAATCGTCTAACTGACCTGAAGCGATTAGTGAGTCGTGCGCTATCTGATGCCCAAGACGTTGAACGTTCAAAAAGCGTCAAACGTAATGGCGCAGCCACCGACAACCGGTCCCCATTGTTGCGCTTTCGCACATTCCCGATGAAGCCGTTCTCCGTGTCAGACCTAACGGCCGGGTCGTGGTGCGAGCTTCAGTATTATTACACTCTGACCAGACTACCCGGCGGTAGAAAGACGCAGACAGCAGCGATGAAACGCGGCACCAAAATCCACGAGAAGTTGGAGCGCGAGCTCTTTACACCCGTTGAGGTGGTGATCACCAAGAAAGAAGACAACTTCGGCCTGAAGATCTGGAATATGATTCAGGGTCTGCGCACACTTCGAGACCAGGGCTTCACTCGCGAGTTTGAGGTCTGGGGTATGGTCGAGGATAACTTGGTCTGCGGTGTGATCGACAGAATGAGTTCGGAAAACCCGGACGCGGAGCTGCAGGAGGACGTCTTGAGCAATCGTGGGAGTCAAGCCATCACGAACTCACAGCCTTACGAGTTGAGCACTCCGAGTGATTATGAGATCTTCATTAGCGATGTCAAGACCCGGGGCAGCGCCTCCCCGCCGCCACAGCCCCAGGTCCGGGTCTCGCTCATCCAGCTCTTTCTGTACCATCGTTTCATGTCCGATATGGCGTCCGATAGGCTGGACTACATGCGTGTGTTTGAGCGCTACGGCCTCAACCCCGACGAGCCCTTCTCTGACGCTTTCATGGCGCAGATCGGCGCGGTCCATGACGAAGTTTTCACCGAAGTCGATGCCGAGACCGCATCCATGCTTAGCGACAACGAAGCCGCCGATGTCGATTCCAATGCGGATTTTGTGTCGGCCCCTTCCAGCCCTTCGCAACTCTCCTTCAGTAGTCGCCCCGAACCGACGCTAAAATACGGCACTCTCCGCTCCCTCGTCTCGCTTCTCTAAGTCGAATTGGCACTCACCTTCCCCCGCGGCGCGTTAGACCTCGGCAAGATAGTAGCAGTCGAGTACCGCTACCGCGGGCGGGACTCCCCGCCTGCGAGCCCCACCGATCCCCTCACCACGGCGACAACGACCACAGACTCAACCACCAACCCGACCGGCCCCGGTCCCAACCCCGAGCCCGAGCCTGAACCCGAACCCGCAACCGAACCCAAGCGCGGCTCCGTCATCTGTACGCACACCTTCTTCGTCGAGCCCCAGACCCTCGACCTGTACCTGGCCGAGACGATGCGCTGGTGGCGGGGCGAGCGCCCGCCGCACGGCGTCAGGCCCGACGAGGCCGGCTTCAAATGCCGCTCGTGCGAGTTCCGCGACGTGTGCGAGTGGCGCGCGGCTATGGACCGTGAGGGCCTGCGGCGCGCGGGTATGAATAAGAGGGCGCGCGAGGCTGGTGTGTCATTGGAGCCGGGGGTGGAGGGGGAGGTGGAGGTGGAGGTGGAGGCGGCGGCGGGTGGTGAGGGGGATATTGAGGATGGTGGTGGTGTTGGTGGTAAAAGGGGTGGGCCGTTGAAGGGAGAGGGGAGTAAGCGGAGGGGGAGGCCGAGGAAGGCTGATAAGGAGAGGGAGAGGGAGAGGAGAGGGAGAGGGAAATGGATATGGACGCGGACCCCGAGGTCGAGGCGGAAGTTGAGGTGGAGCTGGAAGCAGAAGAGGGGGCCAAGAGGGGGAAGGGGGAGACCGAGGAAGTCCAGGCCCGGTTTGGGGGCGTATATGCGTAAGGCGCGTGAAGCGGCCACCGCTCAAATATGATGACGTCCTGGTCCATTCTGGTGGATTCTGAAGGTACCAGGATGTTGAAAAGGGAAGATGATTTCATGTTTTGCGTGGATAGGTAGTTAGATACCCATCACATAACGGATGTTGTCAATGGAATTGGACGCTGGCAATACTGACCCATTTTGCGGACCATACCAATGCCATGGACGACATCACTGATGCAAATAGTTGTCACGTCACAGTTTTGGATCTGGGAATAACAGGTATCGAAGCTCTGCCTATGGGAAAAGGCCGAGCAGTCATAAGAAAAGCCTTACACCCCCCAGCCCGCTAATAGCACCACCACAGCCCATTTCAAACGACAAATGATTAAAAATGGTAAATCGAGTTTCTTTCCACTAGATGCTTAGTAGCTCCGCCCGAACATGCACCACTGCTCCGCCAACCGGGTGCACTCCGGGCTCAGGCACTTGGTCTCGCCCTTGACCAGGCCCTCGGGCTGCTCGAACGGAATGCACAGCGACTTCATGCCCATGGAGGGGGCCTTCTGGCCCTCGGGGGTGTTCTCGGCGGCGTCGTCCGCCCGGCCGGCAGTCAGCTCCTTGATCTTGTCCTCGCACGCGGGGACCAGGCAGTGCGGGATGATGACGACGTTCTTGGCGTCGAGCGCGGGGACCACCTCGTCCCACTTGGTGATCTGTAGGCGGTGCGCCCGGTACGCGGCCTCGGCCTTGTTGTACATGTCCTGCTGGATCGTCTCGAGCAGCTCGGGGATCTTGGTGGTCAGCTCGGTGATCGGGATCGTGCCCTTCTCGCCCGTGTCGCGGCGCGCGTAGCTGACAACCTCCTTGGCCGCGTCCTTGGGCCCGAATTCCAGGCGGAGGGGCACGCCCTTCAGCTCCCAGTCGTTGAACTTCCACGCCGGGGTGTAACCGTCACGCAGGTCGACCTCGGTTCGGATGCCGGCGTTCTTGATGGTGAAGAAGATCTCATCGAGGTGCTTGAGGTGCTTCTCCTTCTCCTCAGCGGTCATCTTCGCGGTAAGGCCGACGGGGATGAGGATGGATTGAATTTTGGCGATGCGCGGGGGCAGGACGAGGCCCTTGTCGTCACCGTGGATCATGACCATGACGCCGATGACACGTGTGGACAGACCCCACGAGTTCTGCCAGACGTTGATGTGCTTGCCTTTCTCGTTCGGGTCTTCGACGGTGATGTCGAACATCTTGGAGAAGTTCTGACCCAGGCAATGGGATGTGGCGCCCTGGATGCCCCGCCCGTTTGAGGGAATGTACCCCTCGACCGTCGTTGTGTAGTAGCCACCGGCGAACTTCTCAGCCTCCGTCTTCCTTCCCCGCACAACCGGAACGGCGAGCAGTTGTTCGTAGATGCCGGCGTACAGCTCGAGGATTTGGAGAACCTCCTCCCCAGCGAGTTGCTCGGTTAAATGGGCCGTGTGGCCTTCTTGCCAGAGGAACTCTCTGGCTCTAAGGAAGGGGGTTGTCTGCTTGGCTTCCCAACGGACGACGGAGTTCCACTGGTTTAGGCGGAAGGGGAGGTCGCGATGGCTGCGAATCCACTTGGAGTAGTCTGTTCGGTCAGAGAGGGATGGCGTGGACGTGAGCGGGGGTCACTCACAGGGGTACATGACCGCTTCAGAAGTCGGGCGCACAGCGACGGGAACTTCGAGGTCCTTGTCACCGCTATCGAAGGTCAGTACCACGCCTGAAAATGTTGATAACGTTGTTGGACTTACGCCTTTGTTACCCACGCGAGCTCGGGGGCGAAGCCCTCGACGTGGTCCTTCTCCTTCTCCAACGACTTTTGCGAAAGGAACATGGGGAAATTGGTCTCCTCGACACCCATTTCCTCGATCCGCTCTTGGAACCACTTTCGGATCGTGTTCCAGACGTACATGGTGGCCGGGCGCATGATGAAGAAACCCGAGATTTCGGTGTAGTACTCGATCATCTCGGCCTTGAGCACAACCTCTTGGTACCATTGTGAAAAGTTTTCCGTCTTGGAGACAGTGATGCCGATGATGTCGTCCGTCTTCTTGCCGCCAACAACAGGGAGCGACGCTTGCTTTGCGGCCTTCTCAGCCTTTGCAGCAGCCATCTTGGCCTGCTTCTCGGCCTTCTTCAACGCGCTCTTGGACTGCTCTTTTCCGTCCTCCATGGTTGCGGTGGTTCGTAAAGTTGCGGGAACGAGTAATGGGGCCAAGTCGACGACAATTTCCTGGAATTGGCGATTTTAATATGCCCAACTGTGACACACGCCGGAAGTGAGTCAAAATTCCGGAGGGGGAGACGCGGGCTGCTTTTTTGATGCCCCGCACTCAGCAGCGCTATCAGCTTCAAAACGAGGGGCACCGTGGGCTTGGGCCGCGACCGATTGCCAGGGAGATTGTGGGTCGCCAGCCAATAAGAGTGTCGCATCTCCGTTGACAGCCGGCATGGGATTATCTCCCCTCCGGGAAAAAGTCCCTGAAGCTGCCTTGCAGCAGCAGCGAAGCTTCGGAAATTGCTGGAGCCTGTCGACATACCCGACTTTTGGATCGATTTCCCCTCCCCCTCCAACCTTCCCTTATCGGCCACCAGTCAACATTACAAGCCGAATACTTTTGCGATGGCCTCCATGTTTGAACAGCCGGGCAACGGCACCCTGTTCCTCGGTGGACAAAAGATCTCGGGTGCAGATATTCGAGACCAAAATGGTCGGTTGTTGCCCAGTCGAGAAGTTGGCTCCAGGAGCTGATGCAGCTCCGAACTTGATGGACTCCCGCTAACTCAACCCACAGTCATCGCTACCCAGATGATTGCAAATGTAGTCAAGAGCTCTTTCGGCCCTAGCGGCCTGGACAAAATGATGGTCGACGACATTGGCGTGCGTCCCGTCCTTTCTCCTTACCCCGCCAAGTAGCAACCTAACAAGAAGAAACAGGATGTTACTGTCACAAACGACGGCGCCACCATTCTCAGCCTTCTCGACGTCGAACACCCTGCCGGGAAGATTCTAGTTGACCTTGCGCATCAACAGGATAAGGAGGTTGGCGATGGCACGACATCGGTGGTTCTGATCGCGGCCGAGTTGCTCAGGAGAGGAAACGAACTGATGAAGAACCGGATACATCCGACAACCATCATCACGGGCTACCGCCTGGCCCTCAGGGAGGCGGTCAAGTACATGAACGAGCACGTCAGCATCAAGGTGGAAAACCTGGGTCGCGAGTCGCTGCTCAACATCGCCAAGACGTCCATGTCGAGCAAGATCATCGGCTCGGACTCGGATTTCTTTGCGAACATGGTTGTCGATGCCATGCACGCCGTGAAGACAACAAACAACAAGAACGAATCCAAGTATCCCGTGAAAGCGGTCAACATTCTCAAGGCCCACGGCAAGGGCTCCCTCGAGTCGATCCTCGTCAAGGGTTACGCGCTCAACTGCACCGTGGCCTCGCAGGCGATGACAACGCGGGTGCAGGATGCCAAGATTGCCTGCTTGGACATCAACTTTCAGAAGGAGCGGATGAAGCTGGGCGTCCAGATTACGATCGATGACCCGGATCAACTCGAGCAGATCCGGCAACGGGAGGCAGGCATGGTTATTGAGCGGATAGAAATGATTCTCAAGGCCGGGGCGAACGTTATCCTGACGACCAAGGGCATCGATGATCTCTGTCTGAAGCTGTTCGTTGAGAAGGGCGCGATGGCTGTGCGTCGGTGCAAGAAGGAGGACCTCCGCCGCATCGCCAAGGCTACCGGCGCCACCCTCCTGAGCACGCTCTCCGACCTCAACGGCGACGAGAAGTTCGAGCCGTCATACCTTGGTTATGCCGAGGAGGTGGCACAGGAGCGTATCTCGGACGACGAGTGCATCATGATCAGGGGCACCAAGGCTCACTCGTCGGCTTCCATCATCCTTCGCGGCCCTAACGACTTCCAGCTCGACGAGATGGAGCGATCAGTGCACGACAGCTTGTGTGCCGTCAAGCGGACGCTCGAGAGCGGCAGCATCGTGCCGGGTGGTGGTGCGGTCGAAACGGCCCTGCACATTTACCTGGAGGAATTTGCGGGCACAGTCGGCTCGCGGGAGCAGCTCGCCATCGGCGAGTTTGCGCAGTCATTACTTGTGATCCCCAAGACGCTGGCCGTCAACGCCGCCAAGGATGCCTCCGAGCTGGTTGCGCAGCTCCGGTCAAGGCATGCGCTCTCGCAGCGGATCCAGGAAGGGGAGGCGAACGAGGACGAGAAGACGGTGGCACGCAAGAAGGCGTACAAGAACTACGGTCTAGACCTGATGAAGGGCAAGGTGGTGGACGAGATCAAGGCCGGCGTGGTGGAGCCCAGCATCAGCAAGATCCGACAACTGAAGAGCGCGGTGGAGGCGTGCATCAGCATCATGCGTATTGATACCCTGATCAAGCTGGACCCTGAGCCGCAGGCGGAGGATGATGGCCACGACCATTAGAACGGATATGCCATTATAATGAAAGCAATGAAGAGTTCGGATGACGGTCAAGAGATACCGGAATACCAAACTTTTGGAACAACCAACCATCACAGCTCCTGCTCCTCCTCGGCAGCGCGGACCCGGCCGCCCTGTGGATCTAGGCGCCGTGTCCATCGCTGAACGTTTCCGCATGCTTGCATACGTGGAAGGTGACGGCGAATGTTTTGCTGATCTGTTTTCATCCCTGATGCATCCTGTGACCCAGTTCCGTGCGAGCAGCAACGTGCGGCTCCGCCTACCGTCGGCTTAACCCGCTTTGCCGCTGTTCTCCGTCGTTCCAAGGCTGGGAGCGGTGTCCGGCGCCGACCAAGCGAGAGCGGCAACGAAGCCTGTTCGCCGACCGTTCCGCCGGGAGCCGACGCAGACATCGCCCTGGTGACGTAAAACCGCGGTCTTTGGGCGGCCCCGCGCATCCTTATCCTTGCGGTTTCTCGGCGTTGCAGTGGGCATCTGACCTTCCTGTCCGGGGAGACTGGCCAATTGCGCAACAGGCGTGGTGGCCCCGTTGCTCCGCATCGTCGGCTTCCTCTTTGAGGAGGCTGTTTGATGTCGTTTTGGTGGTTTATTGGCGTGTTGAAGCAAGCCTTTGCCAGATTATATTTGTATTGTTGCCTGTTTGATAACAATCTTCTGTTGGCCAAGAAGGAGAGAGTCCGAGCTAAACATGTACGGTGCTGCACACACGTGCTATTTACGTCAAAGTCAGCGCTGCGATATGCACCCCCCTTGCAGGCTTGGACAAGAAACGGAATCCACATCCCCCTCAGTTGGTGTGTGTTTCTGAAGTTTCCACTCGTCTTGTGGTCGCTCTTACCCGGGGTTTAAGATCCGGATCTGAACCGGATCTCTCGCTGCTTTGTTCCGCCCCAGATTCTCTTTCTTTTTCTCCAGGCTCGAGTCCCGATCTTTCCCCCACCATCCGGCTTACACCCGACACCACCAACCAACACCTATCGATTGATTACCAACACCATCTACAAGTAACATCCAACTTGACAACCCACATCCCAAAAACAACCACCCCTCAATCCCCACATCAATCTTCACCACCACCACCAGAACAAAATGGGCTCCACAAACTCCCCCCCAACCACCACCACCACCACCACCACCACCGACCTGACCACTCTCCCCCCCGCCACCTCCTCCACCCTCATCCTCACGCACCCCACCCCGGCCGAGCGCGAGCGCACCGCCCGACACACCTATCCCACGTGGGGCTTCGCACTCGCCGAGGCGGACTACCTGGCGCGCGAGGCGTACCTCACGACCGTGCCACTGGCGCGCGACGGCGGCATCACGCACTGGATCCTGACGGACGCGCGGCTGCCGCCGGACGGGCGGCCGATCCTGTCGTCGTGCGAGAGCTTGCGGAAGAGAGCGGTCGTGGTGAATGCTGCTGCGAAGGGGAGGAGGGGGGAGGAGGGAGGTGGTGGGGTGTTGGTGGAGGGGGTGGCGCATGGGATTGCGAGCGTTTTTACGGAGCCGGCGTTTCGCGGGAGGGGGTACGCGAGTCGCATGATGAAGGAGGTCGGGGAGAAGTTGAGGGTGTGGCAGGCGGGTGCGGCGGTGGCGGCGCCCGGGGTGGCGGTTGCAGTTGCGGAAGGGGGGGAGGTGGCGGTGGAGAAGAGCCATTCGCTGTTTTCGGTGTTGTATAGTGATATTGGCAAGACGTTTTATGCGAAGAATGGGTGGGCGCCGTTTGAGAGCTCGCATGTTTCGTTTAGGCCGGTGGAGGGTGCCGCGGCCGGGGGGGAGGGCCAAGTCGCGAAGGCCCTGGGGTACCATGAGCTGGCGGAGCTGTGCGCGGTGGACGAGAAGTTGCTGAGGGCGGATCTGGCCCGCCGCCGGGACGGCAAGCCGCATGTGGCCATCTTGCCGGAGCTGGATGCCTTGCTGTGGCATCTCATGCGTGAGGATTACATGACCAAGTCGATCTTTGGAAAGACACCAACGGTCAGGGGTGCGGTGGCTGGCGAGCCCGGGAAAAGGATCTGGGCGGTGTGGATGAGGGGCTACTACGGCGGGCTGAAGAAGCTGGAGGGGAATGTTCTGCACGTTCTGCGGGTCGTGGTCGAGGATCCCAACCAGCCCGATGAGGAGCTGGTGGCCGGATTCCGGTCAATTGTGCAGATTGCACAACATGAGGCGGCCGAGTGGAAGACGCAGGATATCCACATTTGGAACCCGGATCCGAAGCTCAAGGGCCTGGTCGAGAAGTGCGGGATTGAGTCCGAATTTGTCAAGCGAGACAAGGACAGCATCGCTAGTTTGAGATGGTATGGCGAGGAGCCAACTACCGAGGTGGATTGGGTGGCTAACGAGAAGTACGCCTGGTGCTGAGTGCGACGGGAGAAGGAGAAGAAGGAGAAGAAAACCAAGTATTGTTTGAGAATGTATCAGCTTGCGAACAAACGGGTGCCTACCTGTATTCAATCCTGCATTTAAAGTGTTGTGCCTAACAGTTACGAACCGCGCCACTCCTTTAAACTTTGGAGACTACACGACACTTAGCAATGACAATGACGAACGTGTCTAGCTTCGTTTTCTAGGTTAACGAAGCCGGCCCGTCGATGTCAGTTAAGTCCATCCCAACGAAGACATCGGATTCAAAACTTAGACATACTAGCTGCGGATGCGACTGCGCTCCTATGCGTTCCGCTACACTGAATCGCTATTAACCTAACCACTACACCGCGGACATCTCGCAGTCGAAGCCCCATCAGCTGCGCCTTTAAAAGCTGAAGTCATTTTCACTCCGGACAGATCCTCCCCCTCCCCAGCCACAATTAGCCTGACGGTCTATTCCCTGCCATCCAGCGAGCCTCCTCTCTTGTATTATTTTGTCCCGGCATTTTTCACCCAAATAGCCACACAGAGAATGTCTCCTCGGCCGTGCAGGTACAGTGATCCGACGAGGCGGATATTCTTTAGCCTCGGATGGGATGTGGGGAATAAGGTCGAAATAAAAGCCTCGGGGTCCATGCCGAATGCAAAGAAGCCCATGAAGCGTCCAAACAGCCAACTTGTAGTATTGTCCTTCGCTTACGGCTTTCAAGTCGTTGTCCGAGGGAACTGTTGAGTTGGAGGAGGAGCAATGTAGGATGGTCTTATTGACGGGCATCCACGAGCCATTAGCCCAGGGTTCGTCAAAATCAAGCACCATGGCGGCAATCAAGAGCGAGTCTGCCGGTTTATCCGAGTGAGGGATAGGGGGGTAGTCCGGAAGGTCGCGTTCAATCTCGACGGCGAGCATTAGTTTGTGCCAAGGGACCACGTCCTGTAATAGGGGCTTGAGCGTTCCAACCTCGGATCGGAATGCGATGTAATGCGTCATATCGTTAAAAATGCCTCCCCCTATACGACTTTCAGGAGTTGATTCAATTATCGGTTGGGACAAAGCCTTATAAATCTTGTTCGATGAAAGGCAGTATGCCGCAAATTCATCCCGAACGGGCACGTTACCGTTCAGAAAAGCATCGTCCAAGTACCAGTTGAATAGCATGACATGCTCGGGCTGGATCTGAATAAGGTCGCCATGCCTGAGTAGAATAGATCCGTGGACGGGAAAGACGCTCAGTCTCGGGACGGCGACCTTATCTTTGCAAGAGGCTGGCCCAAGCCAGTCTTCCCATTCCTAGTCGTCGTCGGGGACATACTTGAGCCACCGGGCATTCTCGTGCTTCCCGTGGGGCATGCTGTGCCAGGAGCTACAGCGGTCCGAGCTGATGTACCAACGGAGGCCGAGCCGATGGGCGGCCATACAGGGCTTCCAAATGCGATCTTTCTAAGAAGGAACGAGGACGGGCGCCATGGCAGGTTGGCGGCCAAATGCAAAATTGATGTAATGATTCGTGCGATTTGTTAATTTCAAGGCCGGATAAACGTTTTCTGCCGGTGAAGGGAAGAGAGGCCGACAGCTATTGTCCGAGTGGCGGAGATGATAAATAACGGCGGCTGAGATGTCGCGGAAGTTGACGCTGTGGACGAAGCAGTGTTCTCCGCTAGGGTTGTGGGACACGGCAACCACAACCACAGGACCAACCCATGTCTTCAGTTGTAGTGGCCTGGCGAGGGCGGCGATAGAACTGTTCACCGTGAAATACGGTAGTGGCGTGGACTCCGTGGAGGCTTGCGGATAGGATATCAGCAGGAGGTCATACTCGAAGGTCCAGCCTTGCAACTCGAGGGTATCTCTCAGAAGGACGCGGCGGGTGGGTTCGCGATAGGGGTACATCCCGAATACGTGGAAGGACGTGTCCTCGACGGTGAGCTCGGCCGTTTCCAAGTCGTAACGGACCCAGATGAGTTGGCCGGTGCTCTCCCCGACAGGAAAGAGACACGCTTCGTGGTGGGCGTGTGTCCTGCCCCCGAATGGAGGGCTGCTGATACCACGGCAGATAGCTTCGTGCACACTCTGAGAACTTGGGACCAATATCTCGAGCGGTCCCTTGGGGTCAAGACGGATCGACTGGCCATGGAATTGCGCACACTGGGGGGAGCACCATAGAGGGGTTCGGCAATGGCGGCAGCGCTCTACCAGTTCCCAAGTCTTATCAGACGGGTCCTGATGGTTAATGATGGTTCCGCAAGGCCCAGCACATAGGGATCCTCTACGCCCACTGAGGAGACGAGTGTTGTCAATCTGCGCCAAGCTGACGTTTCTGAAAAATGACGAAGCCAACGAGGCCGAAGCCGTCGGCGCGTTCGGCTGATTGTTCGCCATTTCACTAGATGGCGAGCCGAAGGCCTAAACTCAAAGAGCGGATGCTCGGAACACAGAATACGTTAAAGCGATAGCGCTAAAGATGCCATAGGGGTATTGGGTGTATTTATTGGAAGTGAAGTTGTGCTGCGTGCATGACGGGGACGGATGAGACAAGGGAAAGCTTAAATGTGAGAGACTTAAATGGCAGGTACGGCAATGGAGGGAACAAGTTAATCAGGATGCAGATCCGCGGTGATTCGGCACAGTACAGAGGACAGCGAATCTCGGTCTCAACTCTCAAGAGTCAAGAGCCCTTGGGTTGTAACTTCCAATCGCGAGACTCCAACCTCTCACGTCACGTCGGCCCTTGCTTGACATTGGCCGGTAATCATGCGGAACCGGCGGCGAGTTTAGTAAAGTACTAGGTTTTCCTTTTTAGGCGGGCTGCCTGGACGCCAAAGTTACCAGGTAGGTTAATCAAGACTTCAGAGGTTGTCCATACCTAAGGTACCTAACTTTCCCCACGTTAAAATCAAGCCACCAGAAGCCACTCCATTTGGTTGAAAACAGGAGATGTCATGGATAGGGTTTATGGGGGAACTCAAAACATCTGGATTCGCTATAATATCTCGGGATTGAACCATGAATATACTCTATACATTACCTTCCTAAATCCTCAGCTGATGTGGCTGACAACGAGAGGAAGTCCGGGTCGTTTGATACACCCAGCACGTGCCAAGGTCAACAAGGGTCCCGCCATCCAAGAACCCCGCAAGTTCGAGGTTCTTCCAATGCAGGGCAATGCCGCGGCACTTGACCCTTGCACAACCTTGGCATTTTTCCCGAACGCCGCAATGCCGAACCACCTGACAAACCAACCAAACGACGCCGCCGCAGCATTTGAACAAGGACACACATTAAGCCCGGACATCGAGATCCAAGCCCGAGCGATATCTTACAAAAGTAATTGACCCAGTTGTTGGTTATATGCCAATTCGCGATTTAATTCGAAAGGCTCGGCCATTTCTTCCGTTCAGCTGCTGCCGTCGAAGACCGACGCACATCTGGTTCCCGTACCGTGCGATGCATCCTGCTCAATAACGCTAGATTTACCCTTTTGCATTCAGCGCTACCCCATATCGAGAGGGACCATGCCCTTACGCCTGCGCCGACTCCAACCGAGGACCTCCCTTAGCGCGGTGTCCCGGGCCCTCCGAACGACCCCGAGCTGTTCCCGGCAGCGCGCATTCCGTACGGCATGCGCTTCCTCGACAAGCGTGGGGCGGATAACCCGTTCGTTTCCCGGCCCCGAGCGCCGTATCCGCGCGGCATCGCACGTCGTGTTCCCTGCTGCGTTCGTCGCGGGACAGAGAAGACGAGCGTCAGTTGTGGCGGCAGAAGCGGTTGAGAATAGTGCGTACATACAATGGTGGGGTTAGGGCGGTTGACGGGAAAGCTGACACGGTCACAGCGAATACCGAGGATATTGGCCCGATACAAGAGTACGACCGGCGGGTCGCGAATGGCCTCCTTCGAAACGACGAACATCAGAGAGGTGAGGGGTCCCGCCGGCTGAATGCATGAGGCGAAGACCAAACTTACTCACCCCACACCAGGGATAATACAGAGCCTGCAACACCTGCACGAAGAGTTACGCCACTATCATGCACCACCCGTCGTGCAGCCGACGATCGAGTCCCTCAAACCTAGCAAATCCCTCTTCTCGTGGTTCGGCAGCAAAACGCCCATCCGGGCCATCCCGAGCAACCTCCCGCGAGGGCTCTACCTCTACGGCGACGTGGGGTGCGGCAAGACGATGCTGATGGACCTCTTCTACGACACACTACCAGCGAGCGTACGGTCCAAGACACGCATCCACTTCCACAACTTCATGCAGAGCGTACACCAACGGCTGCACAAAATGAAACTGCAGCACGGCGGCGACGTAGACTGCGTCCCATTCGTCGCGGCTGAGATCGCCGAGCAGGGCAACGTGCTCTGCTTCGACGAATTCCAATGCACCGACGTAGCCGACGCCATGATCCTGCGGCGGCTCCTCGAGTCACTCATGTCGCACGGCGTCGTGCTCGTCACCACCTCCAACCGCCACCCAGACGAGCTCTACAAGAACGGCATCCAGCGCGAATCCTTCCTCCCCGCGATCCACCTCCTCAAAACCCGCCTGCACGTCATCAACCTCGACTCCACCACCGACTACCGCAAGATCCCCCGTCCCCCCTCCGGCGTCTACCACACGCCCCTCGACGCCCACGCCGCCTCCCACGCCGAGAAATGGTTCCGCTTCCTCGGCGACCCGGACACCCTTACCCCACACCAAGAGGTCCAGCGCGTCTGGGGGCGCGAGATTGTCGTGCCCCGCGTGAGCGGCCGCTGCGCATGGTTCACCTTTGACGAGCTGATCGGGCGCGCCGCCGGCGCCGCCGACTACCTGGAGCTGATGCGGTCGTACGACGCGTTTGTCGTGACCGAGGTGCCCGGGATGACGTTCCGGCAGCGGGACCTGGCGCGCCGGTTTATTACCTTTGTGGACGCCGTCTACGAGTCGCACGCGAAGCTGGTTTTGACGACCGCCGTGCCGCTGCAGGAGCTGTTTATTTCGCGGGCAGAGATGCGCGAGTCGTTGGCCGCGAGGCGGCGGCAGGAGCAGGCCGCACAGGCAAAGGGTGGTGGGGTGGCGGCGAAGGACGATGATGATGGTGTGGAGGCGGCGCTAGACGATGCCGCGGATCAGATGATGGATGACTTGGAGCAGAGCGCCGGGCAGCTGGCCAAGTCGAACCTGTTTAGTGGCGACGAGGAGGCGTTTGCGTTTGCGCGCGCGCTGTCGCGGCTGAGTCATATGGGCAGCAGGGAGTGGGTGGAGCGGGGGATGGGCTTGGAGAGCCAGGGGGGCAAGCCGGAGCATGATAGCTGGGCTAAGACGCGGAGTCGGCAGATGGAGGATAGCATGTGAGTGAGTGAGAGAGGGACTGGGTGGAGATATATGGTGGGTGAGCTTGATACCCATGGGTTCTGTGTCGATAAACAGAGCAGGGACGGGGAGTGTATCGCGTATAGAGGCTATGGGTAGGCATTTTGCAGCGTTTTTTAGAATAGCAGACGTTTGAAGACAGATATATGATGACAATGAGCAATACTCATACTTGTTACCGCGAAGGGGTATCTATTCTCAGCGTGAACGCCTCTGAACGATTATAACACAGAACATGACCATATCCAACATGTCTATCTACCGCATTCGCCTTCGCCAAGGCCGTGAAACACCCTACAACGAATCCGAGTGGTCCGGCTTCTCGAGAGCGGCAAAGTCGGTAAAGGCCAGCTCGTAACCGAAAGCCAGGGTCATGCGGGCGTGCTGGAGCATGTGGTCGAACGACAGGTACTTGATCAGGTCCTCGGTCGAGTGGATGTGGTTGTCCGAATACTCGAAGGCCGACTCGATGACGAACGCCGAGGGGTATCCGGCCTTGGAGGCCGAGGCGTGGTCGGAGCAGGCGTACCCGCACTTGGTCTCGACGTAGGGGATGGAGCAGTACTATGAGGCAAAGCATGTTAGTATCCTGGAGGGCATGGATGAGCCGGGCAAGCACAACATACCTCGTCGATCACAACCTTGATGAACTGGGTCAGGTTGGGGTCCACAAAGTCCACAATGACGCCCACGCTCTCGGGCTTGCCGGCATCCAGGGTGCGGGTGATGAAGCCCGTCATGTCCTGCTGCAGCATGGCCTTGACGTCGCGGCCCTCCTTCTCATACGACGAGAAGATGGCCTGGCTGCCCAACAAACCGCCCTCCTCGGCGCTGTACCAGTGGAACTCGAGCGTGTTCTCGTGGTTACCCTTGACGATGTCCTCGGACTGCAGGATGACGCGGAAAGCCTCCAGGATGGTCACAGTGCCGCTGCCGTCGTCGTCGGCGCCGGGGGCGGCGAGCACGCTCGGCAGCCACAGGTTGATGGAGTCTTGGTGAGCGCCGATGACGACGGTCGCGTTGGTCTTGCCCGGGATGGTGGCGATAATGCTGTTCTGGCCCCAGGGGTGCTTGAAGTGCTCGGCGCGCACGTGCTTATCGGCACCGGCCTTCTCGATGGTGTCGCGGACCTGCTTGAGTAGCCACTCGCTCGATTGCCGGCCGTAGTCGGACTACCACGGTATATTTGTCAGCATGGGCCATGGCCTTCGGGGCAACCGGTGCACATACCTTGTAGTAGCGGGTGTGGAATGAGGTGAAGGTGGTCAGGTGGTCCTCCATCTCAGTTTTGGACAGCTCGGCCAGGAATGGCTTCAGCTCCTTCTGATACTTGGGCTTCTCGGGGAAGACACTCTTCTTTCTCGAGGCGGTCATGGCGCGAAGGGCGCCGAGGTCAGGGTGGTCGGTGATATCGAAGAAGCGCTTACCGCTCTAGAACGGAGGTCATTAGTACCGGAGCTAGCGGGACAAGTCAAGATGGAGCAAGCATCAACGTACCCGGCGCAGCTCCCACTTCTCATCTTCCGTAACCCATCTTGTATCTCCCGGTGACAGCTCGATGTGGTATTTCTCGCCGGTCTCGGTAGGCTGAGGAAGCCCGTCGGGGTAGAGGATTGAGCGGTCTGGTTCACCAGTCTCGACGAAGCGGCCGCTGACTGCCGGCAGTAGCAGCGCAAGGAGAGAGGCGTTTGTCACCTTCATGGTGGGCAAAGATGAATCGAGGAGGAGATGAAAGTGAGATTTATGGGACTGAAATGCTGGGGGTTGGTTGGTTGGTAGTTGTTGAGGTCTAGGAGGTTGTTGTTTCGAGACGGAGGAGAGGCAGAGGGGGAGCGAGGCACTGGAGACGGCGGAGTGAGGCGGACGCCGAGCTGCCGTCGCACGCGGCACAAGGGGAAGATCCCTGTTCCAGTACCCACCGGCAGCCGATCCTTGCAGATAAAGCGGACCTGGAGTGCCTGGGCCCTGGGGCAAAAACGGACCCACACAGGATCAGGTACATCTGTACGAAGTACCAATTGCTCAGACTCGCCAGAGAAGTCGTCACAGACAAACCTGATTCGTAAAATCCGTGCCTCAAAGATACCAGGTAAATATACTGGGAACTCGCCCTGGTCGCAAGTCTTCACACAATTTTTAGAGATGAGATCGCAACCCAACGATACTTAGATTCGGATCTGGTTTGAAAGCGTGCACGTGACAATGACTGCGCTTGCGAGCCGCTGTCACCATATCCGACCAATCATCGCCATAGTGAGTTTAACAGACGATAACGTATTTACACGGTGACCTTGACGTCATCCACATCTGCCGCAGCAACTTGGAAAGCTCCAATGCCAATAACAGAATACTTCATACATGGGGATTTCTAGATGATCATGTTCTAAATCTATCCAGTGGTGGATAATGGCGATGAATTAGTTCTGTATTTTCATCCTAATTTTCGTCTGTACATATAATCGTCATACTTTTCAACAGGAATTACATAACACAGTCCTCGGGTGAAAAATGACGAAACATTGTCAACCAAGCACCCGCATCAGCGATCATACTCTTCACCTATGTACATCGGGTGAAACTGTATCCTCACTTCTCGCTCATGATCCCAACCTACGACCTAGTGACGCCTGGGACAAACTCTACAGTAACGCCGCGCGGAAAGGAGGGGGGGCTGCAGAACGTGGACCGAATCGGCAGTCGACCAATGGTCACGATAGTACTACCGAGACAGAGCTCGAACAAGCGGCAAGGTGCGGGAACTGGGGTCCGACTAAACCAAGTGACTTATTCCTCAAGGTTATTATGTCCCTGTGCACCATCTTGTCTGGGTAATTGGGCTATCCACGGTTGACACTGGCTGGCTTACAGATCTATCACGATGCGCTGTGCACCCTTGACCAAGACCCTCACCAAGCCGTGGTCAGTCCTTCACTTATGGGGAGCCATGGGACGGTGCCCCTGACCATCATTTCTGTGTAAGTCATTTGGTCCCCTTTTTGACTTTTCGCCATTAACAAAGTCAAGACTGCCCGATATTGCCCGCCACATGTCCAATCTCATTGTCCGTGCAAAAGAGGAGGTGTTCTTGGCGACCAACTACTGGCAAAACAGCGTAGCCTCCAAGTACATCACTGACGCCATCAGAGAACTGGACCGCCGAGCTGGGGAAGCGGGCACTAGGGTAGTCGTCAAAATCATCTACGACCGCGGGAGCCCCAGACAGCTCTACCAGCCTCACTACATCGTTTCCGAGAAAGTCTCGACTGGCAAGGACGTCAACCTACCGTCTGCCGCTGAGATCCCGAATATTGACTTGGAGGTCATGAATTACCACACCCCGCTAATGGGGACCTTTCACGCAAAGTATATGGTGGTTGACCGGAAGATTGCTGTCTTGCAGAGCAACAACATCCAGGATAATGACAACCTGGAGATGATGGTCCACTTGGAGGGCCCCATTGTTGATTCAGTGTACGATATGGCTCTGATTTCGTGGCATAGGAGATTGGATCCGCCATTACCGAGTCAAACTGCGGGTCTTGTTGACGGTGAAAAGCAAGACACGAGGTTGGATAAAACCGACGGCGGTACTACCGGTGATGCGAATTCAGAAAAGGGTAAGGTGGGACCCACCAAGGATGACAAGAAGCCAGTATCGGTTGTTAAAGGGGAGCAAAGCAACGGAGCAGTCACCGATCCTTTGAACCAGGATCTGGTACAAGAAACAAGACCGCTCCCACAACACACGGCAGATGATCCGCACTACGACGAGGACATTGCGGGGGAACTGGCCCGCTCGCAAGCATCACTCGCTCCCAAGCCCAGGGAGACACACCTGCAAGCCGTCACCCGGCTGCTCAACCACACCCTCAACGAAGGTCTGCCAGGAGACCCTGGAGCACCGGAGTGCCCACCGGGAGATTTCATGACACCATACCTCCCCCACCTAACTGGCACCCCCTGCCCGATGGCCCTCGTCAACCGCGCCCCCTACGGCCCGCCAACCCACGGATCCGTGTCGAACCCCCAGAACGCCGCCTGGCTCTCCGCCCTACGCAACGCCCAGAAGAGCGTTTACATCGTCTCGCCAACCCTCAACGCATCCCCCGTCCTCCCGGCCATCATCGAAGCCTGTGAGCGCGGTGTCGACGTCCACTGCTACATCTGCCTCAGCTACAACGATGCCGTTCGTCCCCCTCTCCACCCATTCTCCCCTCAAACCAACCTACCACCCCTCACTAACACCCCCTTCCCCCCCAAACAGGGCGAACTCCTCCCGCGCCAAGGCGGACACAACGAAGGCGTCTCCGCCCACCTGCACCGCACCCTCACCCCGACGGGACGCACGCACCTCCACTACCACTGGTACGTGGCCAAAGACCAAACCCGCCCCATCACACAAGCCTCCCGCCAACGCAGCAGCCACGTCAAGCTGCTGATCGCGGACGGCGCCGTGGCGGTGCAGGGCAACGGCAACCAGGACACGCAGAGCTGGTTCCACAGCCAGGAGGCGAATTTGTTGGTGGATAGTGCGGAGTTGTGCGGGCTGTGGTTGGAGGGGTTGCGGCGGAATCAGAATACGGGGTTGTTTGGGGCGGTGGGGGGGCTGGATGGTGTGTGGAGGGATGGGAGGGGGGAGGAAGTCGAGGGGGCGATGGGGGTGGAGGCGGGGAGGGTTAGGGGGTGGGCGAGGGGGGTGAAGGGCGCGGTGGAGAGGGTGAGGGGGACGGGCGGGTTTTGAGTTTTTGAGTGGAGGAGGGTGGTTGTTGGTCTTGGGGTTGGATGTGATACTTCTGTGAATAGCTTGATCTCTTTTCTTGAGTTATCTGATTAAAAGAACAGAGGAGAGAAAGCTTGGGTAGGTAATGTATTCCTTTTGCGGTATGACGAACTCGAAATGGAGAAAGAAATCTATATTTATTATTCATACTCCGCTATGCCCTAGGGCGTGCCGGACCCTCAGCTATTTAGTTTACAAGAAAACCGTGCCCTCCCGGGCCGGGTGAAAAACCCATACCAACAATCAAGGAACGATGGGTTCTGGTGAGTCTGCGTATACAAAGAGAGGAGGCCTCCTGGCCTCCGAACGGGGGCGCTTCAGGCCGCCGCTTCCAGCTCGAGCCTCCTGGCTAAGTTGTACATCGGCAGCTTCCTCGAGTCCATCAGCCAGTCGAGGACTCTCCTCGCGAGCCGTGCAGTCGTGGGATTGATGCCGTGTAGAACAGAGTAAAAGTCCCGTCGTGTCCGAATTCCAGTTCTCTCCCATCTTCGAGTCAACGGTTGGAGAAAGAAATCGGGAAAAGAGAAAGAAGTAAAAAGAAAACGAGAAAAGAAAGAGGCAAGGGAAAACTAATCAAATAAAAGAAATCTGGTAAAGTAAGGTTGGCCTTCTGCTCTCGAATTACGGATCCGTACTTCGTATAGTTAGGACATTGCATTGTCTGTTCAGGGGCAACGTCTTGCATGACAATCGGAACGGGGGCATGGGGACAGATAGAAGCCCGTTTATTTTGTAAGCCGGCTCAATTCACCTGCAATTCAAGATCATTTGAATCGCGACACTCGGTTCTCACAGGTAGGCTTCGTAGCACAGCATCACTCAATAGAGGGGTTAGTTACCTCGGCAACTCGCCCAAGAAAAATTCCCCACATTACCCCTATTCAGCCAAAACAAAGAAATCACCCCACGATTCCCAGCCCCGACGAAAATGAGATCCACCATTCCGCGAACAGCCAGCCTCAGACAAAGAACGCCCCCATCACAACAGCCACCAAGCCCGCAACCGGCGCCACAACCCCGGCCGCCGCATTCCCCGTTTCCGTGCCGGTGGGCGCTTCCGTGGCACTCGTCACCGTCGCACCTCCGCCGCCACCCGTGGTGGTAGTGGCAGCCGCAGTGGTCTCGCTTTCTGCCGTGCTCTCCGTCTGGGTCTGAGTTTGGGTCTCGGTCTCGGAGTCCTCCACTGTCGACGAAGACGCACCGCTCGCACTCCCCCCACCACTGGTAGCAGTAGCACTACCACTCCCACCAGTAACACTACTACCCCCAGTAGCAGACACCGACCCACCACCACCACCACCACCACCACCACCACCCTGACTCTGGTTCGGCGCAACAACCCCCCCAAACACGCCGCCAGACGGCGAGGTGGCGTTGCCGGCGGAGGCGCGGGCCAGCGCGGCGTAGGCGGCGAGCGACAGGCGGCCCACCCCGGCCGGGTTGATGACGGCCACCATGCCGTTCTTGGCATCCTGGCCCTTTTTTCTGCGAGCAGTAGCCGGGCACCGAGTCTGTATTGCTTCCGTTTACGCGGAAGTCTCGGCCTTTTTGTTTTAGGGGTCGAGCGGGTTAGTGAGTGTGTTTAAAGGCGGAGGCCGGGGTGTGGCGAGGGGGGGCGGGGGTTCAGGAGAAGGGGGCGGTTACGTACGTTGACGGTGTCCGGCTGGGTCGGGAAGAAGCCCGAGAAAAAGCCGTTCTCGCTGGCTGGGCGGCAGGCTTCGTTGAAGTGGCCGGCTACTACGCTGTGGTTGCGCGGCCAGAAGCGGAACTCGATCACGTCGCCCTCCTGCGCGTGGATCATGTTGGGCTCAAAGGTTAGGCCATTCTTGCCAACTGACACCGGGATGGTGGTGGCCGCGCTGAGGCCGGCGATGGTGAGAAGTACGGCCGTGGGATGCATGTTGGGCTCTGCGAGTTGGATGTTCTGTGGGTAATGCGTTGCCAGGCTCAGGACGCAACATCAGCCTTGCTGAGCAGCTTTAAAAGACTGTCGAGGAGGGGCTGGACGGCCCCTTGCGCGGCCCCTTTTCATGGCGTCGTCTTTGTTCTTCTCCTCGTTCTACGTACTCAATTGCGCCACATCCGCAAACGTCATGGATTACAGCGGGAGGCGGCGGTATGACATACGCGGTGGTGGGATTAGCCTGTTTCCGGGTCGCAAAATAATAAAACAAAGGGGAGTCGACCTGTGGCCAAACGAGCACGCAATGTTCATGGACAATTTGAGGGGTAAGCAAGTAAGGGTCGTCACCAGGGAATTCTACTGTCTAACTAACTTATGCTGCTAACATACAGTGATTGGAGAAGGTGCGAGTCAAGTTTGGGATGCTTATCGAGAGCGCCGTTTTGCTCTAGTCTGGTCTGGGGCCGTCCCCGGCTTCCTCTTGTTTCGTCGCGTAGGACCATCGCCGCCGCCGCTGCCTGTAGTATTGTGGATGATAATTGTTATGCTGACTCCATGACTCTTGAGCTTCGTGCCCTTACCAGCCTTTTGACCGCCCCCACCAGCTTCATTGCGGCCACCCACCTCCTCGTTGCCATCGGACTCCTCATCATCGTTAGCCTCGCTGCCCTCGTCAGTCTCGCTGCCCTTGTCAGCCTCGTTGTCCTCGTCAACCTCACTGCCCTCGTTAGGCTCGCTGTCCTCGTCAACCGTGTCGTTGCCGATTTCACCGACTTGACCAATTTCCTCGTCCTCGGTATCCTCTGCGCCCTCTAAAAAGTCGTAGATTCTGTCGATGTACGACTTCGTCACCATGTTGCACGCATTTATGACGATGCGAAACCACAGGTCTCCGGCTAAGAAGAGACCGATGTTCACGTTGTGATAGGGGGAGCTATGTGAGTTGATGATCCAGCTAGAACGCTCGGAGGTAACTGGCTGCTTTGGGAGACCATTGTAGGTCAAAGTGATGAGCGTGCGCAAAGGTTACAGATGGCCGAAGCTCCGTATGCTAGGGCAAAACAGGAGTTTGATCGCCTCATGACAATTGACAATCTCCGCTTAGCATTCGCAAATCGGACATCAGAACTGGGCAGCGTCAAGCAAGAATCGGATAATCACGACTTGCTTTTGCGCTGGGTTTTGGAACAGGTGCCACTGGTTGAAGCCGAGCAGAACGAGGCCGACAGAGCTAAGGCGAGTCCGACAGATGTGCCGGGTCGGAAGAGAGCGCTAAACAGTGACGAGAGCACGGGGGAGCCGGGGCCCAAAAGGGCGAGGGTACATGAACCCCAGGCGACGGCTCAAGTCGACGCTTCCCTCGATGTCATGAAGCAGCCGAAACGGAAACGCGAGGACAAAGAGGCCGAACAAGAGCAGCCATCGAAACAACGAATAATACAAACGACCCCCACCGCTCGCCATCCCAGGAACCGAGCTCACCGAGCGCGTCACCAGCCTTAGGAGAGCTGGACGCAAATGTTATTGCCGGCGGCTACCGCACGGCTGCCGGCCATAAAGTACGCATCAGTGGCGCCGCTGACGCACCTACCAAATCCAAGCCCAGCGGGCCCCAAGAGCGCGAGCGGGAGAGTCCCCAAGAACACACCGTCCAAATCCCCCCCAAACCAGCGAACGAGAGCCCCCCGGAAGGCAAGGCCGAAAACATGTCAGACCCTCGTCCCACAGCCGAGCCGCCGCAACTACCGCGCAAGGACGAAGGCAAGGGGAAGAAGGGACCGACGCGCAGCAGCCTTTGGCGTGCGGCCCCTAGGGTGGCGCTACCGCAAGAACAGCTCGGAGGCCGCGGCAACGACAGGAAGGGACCCGCCATGCCAACTCAGCGCAGTTCCAGGTTTGCGGGTATTGCTCCTGGCGCTGTTGTTGGTGTTGCTGCTGGCCATGGCGAAGGGGGTGGGGCGGCACGGGGGAAGGGCCGGGGAGGAAGAAGGATGGGTTGATGGGCTGGGTATTGTTTGTTCGTTGTTCAGTTGAGACTAGAGGGGGGGTCTTGTTGGTGTGTTTGCGTTGGTTCAAACGGGATGGAGGGGTCCGGGCCGTCGCGGCGCAGTGTGTGTTGTGGTAGGGGTAGGGGTAGGGGTGGGGATGGTTGGTTCTGGGGGTGAGGATCGAGTTTGTCTGCTGGTTGCGTTGTAGTTGTGGCAGATGAGAACGAAGACGAGGGAGGGGAAACGCAGCGTAATTTATGGATTGGTAGATAACGGTCGGGGCTAGGTTTAGATGCTGGGGCTAGATCCCAGGGTGAAAAAAGCTCTTAGGGATGTGTGAGTACCTAACATGAACTGCGAACTTATCGACGGCGCAACAATTGCTGCGTCACCCCACTAAGGTGAAGATGTGCAACAAGACCCCGAAATGCCGGGCGCCTGAAAATGCACTCCTGATTACTGGCGAGGTACTCCATCCGTGCTGGATCCCATGCTGTGAAAAGTGAAAAAGTGCCCTTGCATTGGGGGAAAATGGGAGAATGGGTGTGGTTTGGGAAGGAACACCATCTCCATGGTGGGGCGGGAACTGTCTGCTAAGAGGGTTGACGTGCTTTCCGCTTTGAGGCAACCCACCATTTCCGCCGCCGTGCATTTAGTGGAAATTGAACCCCCCTTTACAAGCTTGATGGAATGGAAATTGACGGCGCAAGGCGGGTCAGCTCCCGGCCGACCCATGGTGGCCGTCTCAAACGACCCGGCATTTGGTGATATCCCCCCATAATCCATTCAATAAGCGGTGTTGCTTAAATGATCTGCGGCCTCGATGTACCTCGCCCGCAGCCCCTCGCCTCGCGGCCTGCGCTGCCCTCAGATGACAATGTCCGCAATCTTTAGAATTGCCACTAACCATGTATATATTCTATTTATCCCCTCCACCTCCCTTCCGCAAGACCGACTACACGACTTGGTCTACCAGGCCTAGCCAACCGCCACAACGCTCTTGACAGTCCCACCCTCCCGCCGCCAAGATGCAGGGACAGTATTCTGACAACTTCTGTCAAGCGCGAGAGCACGATATCTCCAGCCCCGACACCATGCCCTGCTACGCACCCAAGCATGCAACCTGGGAATGCATTGACCTCAGCGACCCAGACACATCCCAGCCCCAACAACCCCAGCACTTGCGCGACCACCCCAGATATCCATCCACTTCGCTGCCCCCTAGCGGCTACGCCTACGTCCCGCCATTCACCGTCCCCCAACCCCAACCGCAGCCCGCCACCAAAGCGAGCGGCAATGACGACGACGACGCCCAACACCGGCTTTACCGAAGCCGCGCCTCTTCCCACTCCCACCCAACCACCACGGCTACCACACCCTCCCCCCCACCACCACCACCACCAACGAAGCACACCCCCCCAACCCCAATCACCACTCGCCCTGCTACTTCGACACCCTCGACTTCTCCGACTACCAGCACCAGCACCACCACCACCACCACCAACCCCCGACCCCAGCATCCCCCCTGCTACCGCCGCCGGGCTCTGCAGCCAATGAGAAAGGCGGTGCTACTGTTGCAGCTATAGCAACAGCTGACGCTGAAGAAGGAGATGCGTACCGGCCTCGCGGGGGTGGATGGGCTGCCTACCGCGATGGTGGCGGTCGCGGCGTTCTGGTGACGCGGGGTAGTTTGTCGTTGCCGTCGTCTTCGTCGTCTGGGGTTGGGGGTGGTGTGGTGGTGGAGGAGGGGGAGGAGAAGCGGGCGTGGCGGCGGGTGGTTGGGGTGGTTGTGGTGTGGATGGTGGTGGTGGGGTGGTGGGTTGTTTTGCAGTGGGTGGTTGGGGGAGGTGGTGGGAGGTTTATTGATGATGTGGGCGTAAGGGGAGACGGGGTGCGTGGTGAGTGGGGTCCGTGTACGGAGGCGCGGCCACGGTTTTGTCGGCTTGTGGTCGGCGCGGGGGAGCAGTAGGGAAGGGAAAACATGGTGGAAGGGGTGCGGTGATGTGGTACATTTTGTTCAAATATTAGCTAGACAATTCTTGTCACCTCCTGCTTTTTGCCTTTCTTTTCACGGCATCTGCGAGACTGCTGAGCTCGAGATCACCACCGCCTTTCGCTTTCTTGGCGCTCCTTTGGTCCTTCTTGTCGCTGGGTGACTCATTTGGCCCGGCCTTGCGCTTCTTCCTACCCTCTTCCAACAGCTTCTTCATTCCCTGGGTCGCCTTGTATTTGGGATTCGACGGGTCGATGGCGAACTCGTGGTTCTCGAACACGGCCTTGAACCGAGCATCCTCGACGTCCATATTAAAGTCCTCTTGCAGGCCACCCTGGTCCTCAGCCCCCTTCTTGCCCTTCTTCTTACCCTTCTTCTTCTGCTTCTCTGCTCGCGTGATGTCCTTCATATCGAAGTGGTCGAGATGGGCACCGCCGCCACTCTCATCCGCCATAAGAAGTTCAAGCTGCGCTCTCTGCGCAGCGTTCTCAGCTTCCTCCTGCTCCTTGGCAGCGCGCTTCTTGAGCCGTTCCTCCTTGCGCATCGCCGTCTTGGAGGGCTGGACTGCCTCCGAGGTGAAGAAGGGATCGTCAAAGCCGAGATCGTCACCGCCCCCTTCGGCCTGCTCCTCGTGAACCATCTCAGGTTCGACGCCTTCCCTTTTGGCAATGGCCATGGCTTTCTTCTTCTCCTTGCGCTCCTTCTCCTTGCGCTTGTATTTCTCGATGGTTGTTTCTTCAACCGCCTCCTTCTCGGGCTTCCCGGATAGGGCGGGGGCAAATGTAATCTGCATCTCCCCAACCGGCCCTGACTTCGACGCCTTTGGCGCTGGCTCATCGCCGAGGCCGAGCGCGGCGCGCATCTTGCGTCTTGCAAGCTCCTTCTTGCTCAGCGGCGCTTCCTCCGCGTCCTCAGCCTCGGGAGGGGCCTCGTCTGCTTCCTCCCCTTCGCTCTCGCTATCACTTGCCAGGTACGCCCGAAGATCGTTCTCGGCAATGTCTGACCGACTTCCAGTGAAGGCCTTGTTGATGGACTCCTTCCTAGAAACCTCCTCAGGATGCATGTCCCAGGTCAACTTGACCTTTGAATGCTGTAGTGCATCTGTCACAAACTCGACGGGTTTGTACCCGGCGGGGACGCTATCGCACTCATCTCTGGGTTCGTCGTCGAACGTGACATCATCGGGGATAAAGCGCAGGTCAAGGAAATTGGAAGATGACAGATATTCGCTGCCGTCTGTCGCATCGTAGATCTTGTGCGCCGTGTTCGGGTCGGAACAAACCACGACCGCGTAATGGTACCGTAACCTGTCGAGTTGATACGTCCGGAGCGCGTCGCTGTCAAAATCTTGATCGTTACCCTCCTGGAGGAGCTCCTTCCTAACCTCCTCGTCCGAATCCTCCGCCGCATCATCATCGTCCTCGCTCTCGGACGCAGAGTCGGCTTCGTCATCTAAGTCTCATCGTCCGAGTCGTTTTTCTTCTTGAAGATCTCTCTCGGGGGGCCTTCTACCTCCTCACGCTGCATCCTCTCCTTGCCAAACTCGCTGGGGTAGATCGACACCTTCTCAATGCGCCCACCAACCGGTACGAAACTCGAAAATAACGCCAAGAGGTCCATAGATTTGATGTGATCCCAGTCAATGTTGACGACGGCAAACCGTCTGGTGACCTCCCCCTCTTCAACCTCCTGCTTATCTCTGCGCAGACGGATGCCGGGCCGCGACTCCTCCACTCCATCTTCTGCTTCGGGCGCTTCCTCGGAGTCGGATTGCCCGTCCGAATCTGAGTCCGACTCGGACGAAGAAAAACCACCATTGCGGGCAGGGTCGTATGCTGTGTCTGCCTTCTCCAGCTCGCGCCGGACGATGTCGTCGTCCTCGACCTTGGCGTCCCCATCCTTCTCCTCCTCCTCTTCCTCGTCTTCGTAGAGGCGTTCTAAGGCCTTCTTTTTCGTGTCCGTCTTCAACTTCCGCCCATAACGATCAACTCTCGCGGTGGCGACAAAGTCGGCATCTTTTAACACGCGCGAGAAGCGCTTGTCGAGCTTGGTCTTTAGGTTTTTCTTGGACGGTAATTGGTATCGCGGATCTGTTTCGAAGCTTGCAAAACGGGAATCCGCAATCCGATCGGCTGATGCGCTCTCGCGCTTTGTTGGCTTGCTTTTCGGCATGTTTGGTTGTCTGGGACGTTGAGACAGAGATGCACAAGCTCGATCTTTCTCACGGCACGCGCAATTGGGAAGCGTCCGAGAAATTTTTGGTGGGGCTAGAATTCTGCCAAAAGGCGGTAGGCCGCCAAGGGGCTGCTTTCCTCTGCCAAGCAAGCGTTCCCATGGAAGTTCCAATCCCACAGCTCGCTGTCCGGCGCCATGAACCCGTCGACTAACTAGCATTTCTCGAGTCACGTCGATGCCTCATTCTCAGCATAACACTTACGGCTTCACTCTTCTTTTTCTTCTTATTACTTATTTATTTATTTTTCTTTTTCTTTTCGGTTTTTCTTTTGCCACCTCTCGTGACCTGAAGCGCCCGAAAACCATGTCACGCTTACCATGAAATTACCCCGATGACACACGCCAGTAATGATAAAACATGGTACGATATCTCTTTCATCTGATCATTAACTAGCGGTGCCTTGCTCATCGTCCGAATATCCAAACTCCCAGTTGCTGCTGACCGCGGGGCAATGGGAAATTCAGGATTATTTCGGTGGGCCAGTGCCCTTCCGATGAGTCGGATAGGTATCTAGGTAGGTATGCAACTCTGTGTTTTTCAAAACGGCATAGTTAGGTGAAAAGGCACGAATATGGTCACGAAGGCGTATATTAATCCGTTAGTTTGTGCAGTCCGTTCCGTCGTTTTCCAACAAATTATTTTGTCAGCCCGTCCCAGCGCAGTAGTTCGATCGTATTCCAGCTCACGGCACTACGCCCAGGCTGCCCTCTGGCGTCCCAAGATACCAAGAGTGGGACAACCAAGGAAACCAACATTGTGCTAGCCCATACCAGAATTCATACTTGTCGGGCCTAGGCCACTCCTAGGTTGTGTTGTCCAAGCTAGGTAGGTATGTTGCCTGTACCCGTCTCACATTCACAGCCATGATCAGATTACCCATCTCGCCTGCAAATCAATCTCCCACTTCATCATGATCATCTGGCTAGAAGATCTGTTGTATCCCCGAGCTATACCTTCTTTCCCCGAAGCCGGGACATCAAGTTTGGAGGGCGGCTACACATGATGCGGAGCGACCGGGGTGGCGGCTTAGGATGCGGCTCGCACGACTGATCCCCCGGCTTTTTGTTGCGTCCGCTAGCCCAGGGATATGTTCCTAAATGGCTAAACAAGGGGCCTACGCCCAGGCCGAGCGGCCCGCGCGATGTACGGTTCCATACTCTCAAGGACACAGTCTGTATACCAGGGATACCTCCTTCCCATGCCAGGGGCGGCTTTCAGACATCACACCCCCCTATCCACTCGAGCCGCCTCCTTAGGGAGCCCGGCCTTTGAGGACAGGGAATTCGAGACAATGACAAATGGAAACAGCGAGCCGAGGTGCCACTGTGTGAGTGCTGATGAGCTTATTTGATTTAAGGTTGCGGTGATCAATGCAGCTAGTCGGACGTCAAGACTTGGAAGGTACAACAAAGGACGAACCATTACTTCTTCGTCACGCCACGTCTACTGTTGATTTAACTTTAAGTTGACAAGATAGGGGCGTCAACGTTTCACCCATATTTTCCTTGCTACATTGCAGACCTCCATCGCCCGGGTCGCCTCACTTCACTTTCAATAACTCACAGAAAGCAGCAAACATGTACGATCAACGCAAGTTACGCAATCCGGCGACCTCGGCGGCCGGGCCTCCGTCCCCAAGCTTTCCCAGTTTCCCAGCGAGACAGGTGGCCAGCAGCAAACTCTTCGACGACACGTGGGCCGGCGTGGCCGCGGAGGGTGCGGTGCAGGCCAAGAACGCGGCATGAGGTTGATCGGCCTGGATTACGTTTTGAAACGGGTGAGTCCCAATAGAAAAGTCAAGAAATCAAAGTCCTGTGAGAAGCAGTCGATTTTTATGTAAGTGGGATCCGCAGTCCTACCTTGGCGCCTCTCTTGGCATTTGTTTTTTTCACCCCTTTTGCCGCTGCAACACTACAGAAGTCCCGATAGCCGGCCCGCCAAGACAGACGTATAAGACGAGCAACTCACCCTCTCCCTGGAATCTATTGCTTTCAGATTCTACCATCCAACGCTGTCTTGCCATTCCCTGTGTTGCTACTGATACGAGGACCATTTACCCGTGTCCTCCCTTGTTGCCCGCCAACAACTCTATGGATTTAAAGAGAATCCACTGTTTCGAGATCCCTCGTCAAGCCCATCTTGCCCTGGAAGAAGGAGATGACTCCCGTTGAAGAAGCCGGTGCAAGGAGAGAACCTGGAACCATGCATGCCTTCATCAACTCGTCCGCCGCTTGGCTGAACGTGCACATCAAGTCGTTCATCCGGCAGCATGCCCCGGACGCTGTCTTCATTGACGACTTTGACGAGTTCCCCGTCGGCGTGGACACCGTCTTCCAGTACTGCGACGGATGGGCTTTGACGCAGAATTTCGCCGCCATCAACGTGGCCAAGACAGGGCTCATCAATGCGTATCCCAACAGTGATGCCCTCGCGCGGAAGGACTTCCTCGCCGCGGTCGTCGAGTACTGGGCCACCAAGCGACCAGACAGCATCCTCCGGAAACATGTCCCCCTCACCGTGCGGCTGACGCTTGACTACGCCGAGTACGTGGATGACGCCCTGATGGCGGCCGACGACCTCTCGCTGCTGCACTCGCTGGAGCAGAACGAGGCCAAGGAAGCGCAGCACCGGGAGTGGTGGATCCTCAAGCCCGCGCTGGTCGACTGCGGCGCCGGGATCCGGCTCTTCAGCACCATCGAGAGCTCGCAAGTCACTTGGAACTTGCCGAGAACGAGACGGACGACGACGAAGAGGAAAGCGAGGAGAGCGAAGCAGGCGAAGCAGCATCCGAGACCTCCATCGAGAGCGAGAAGGAGAACAGCAAGGAAAACGGTCCCATCTTCTCCCCCACGCTCACCACCCCCGGCCTGGAGGGTCTCGACTTGCTCGTCACCACCACCAACGCCCTCTCCCTTCAACAACAACCCCCCCCCTCCACACCAAACCCGACAAAAAACCCGTCCGCGCCAAAAAGCCACAATACGTCTTCAAAGCCGGCGGGCGCATCCCATCCGCCCAAATGCGCGCCTTCGTCGCGCAGCGCTACATCGTGGCGATCCCGCCGCTGGATGGGCGAAAGTGGCACGTGCGGTCGTACGCGCTGTCGCTGGGGCGGCTCAAGGTGCACGTGGCGCGCGAGATGCTGGCGCTGCTGGCCGGCGAGGACTACCAGCCGCCCTGGGAGAACCCCAGCCTCAAGGCCTCGCTGACTAACACGGCGCTGCAGGACGAGGACGAGTTTGTGGAGCGCGAGTCGATGCGCGACTTGGCGTCGATGGAGGCATGTTCTGATCGTCCGATGGAGACGCATGTGTTTATCAGATTGTGCATCACGGCGGAGCTGTTCGTGCGGCGGCACATACGATGGCCGATAAGTTCACGACGCTGGATAAGTGCTTGAGTTGTGTGCGCTGGATATCTTGGTTGATGCTTCGGGTAACGCCTGGCTGCTGGAGGTTAATGAGACGCCGGCGTTTACCAACACGGTGTTGCTGCCCCATGGCTCTGCGCCTGATGGAGGGCATTATTTGCACCGCCATGGAGCACATGGCAAGCTCAGCCTGTGACCCTAAGA